TTACTAGTAAGTTGTTTTTACAAAACCTAACACCTAATATTTTCTAATTCTCAACCGACATGATTGCTCGCTTGAATTAATGATATTAAATTATTGTTTTTTGTCATTTGATATGAACTATTTATAGTAACAAAAAGCGAAAATGTAACCTTAAGTATCCGACCTCTGATGCTAGGCTTCAAAGCCACGTGATTAGGTTACATAAGAACGTTTTTGCTGCTTGCTTCCTTGTACTATATTAATTATCTTTATAGACGACTGGAAAATAATAATAACATCAGAACTTTATTTCTAACATTGTAATACAAATACAGTCCGTGGACTCTATCTAATAAAAATATTAAAGTGTATGGATTTTGGTTCATATGATTTTATTAAGATGATCACTGGTGCAAAAATACTTAATTTCATTGTAACATCAATATTGTAAAAGTTTATGCTTTTATATATGTAATGTAGTACCGTCTCAAAATTGTTTTAGAAAGCTCCAACGAAGACATAGATAAATAGAAATCTTTCAGCTCGAGTGTTAAAAAACCAAGAAGAAAAAGAAGAGGTTTCTATAGTTCTTCAATCTACTGACCTTTAAAAGCTTTGTAATGACATTTTTACTTATTTTAATTTGTTTTTTAAGACTCGATATTTAGAAAACAATTGGTGTTATCAAGTGGCACCAGAACCACCTCATATAAACTTCAATACAAAAGTGTAACAATGAAACTTAACATTGATTGAACTTCAGACGGATCGTTGGCTCGCTATACACAATGAAACGGACGTCAATTTACTAAAATAGCAATTTCCTTTGAACTAGTAGTAACAACAACAGTTGCCGCATTTGTTGATGTAACTGTTAGCTACCATTCGGAGAAACTATTACATTTTTTAACATAGCTTAGAAACATGTAAACTAGTCTTAACAGACCTATGAAATTCTTTGAAGTGCCCTCTTGGTTTAGATCTACATGTAGCATCAATCTATTCATTTATTCATACTTAGCTATCCAAACACCTATATTAAATAAAACCTATATTAAATCGGTTATGGTAAGTTAAATCTGGCCAAAGTATTTAGTAAATAAAGTCCAACTAACTCCAATATTTTAGACCAAAATAATTAAAAAATAGTTCTTAAAATTCTCCTATCTATTTAAAGTACATTTGTAATTGTACTTACTGTTTTTATAGTGACATTGAGTCCTGATTCTGATATAATGTGATTTCACTATTATCGAACATAATGGTGTACTTATCATAAACTAGCTGTTTTCCCGCAACTTCGCAAGCATAAATTATGGATTATGACAACCCTGTAGGCTACAGCTATGCTATAGGTACCCGTAGGTAAAAAAAACATCTTTCGGAGCCTCTTCGATCCAAACAAACAAACAATCAAATCTTTCCTCTTTATAATATTAGTATTCAAAACTATTTTTATTTTGCAAAAGACACCATAATTTATCTTACTTAACTGGTATATGAGCGTTTCACACTTCACGTGTTCTTCACATTTTTTGGATTACTTAGGTTCTAGTGTTTGCTTATCTTCAATTTGTTATAATGCTTTTAAAATTCCATCATTCATCCTCGAGGGTGTGGGCAGTGCTTATTTAATTATGGATCCATTTGCTTCCCCTTTAGCTTTACGACATGACCAGTAAGACTGGCTAATGGTGAACCATAAGGGTAAACATAAAATGGTTTAATAGATATAATGGATTCTTAACACGAAAGGCATATGATATTTTACTTATTTCTCTGAATTTCTTTCGTATTTGAGATTTATTATAACCAAAAAATACTAATTAAAAAGAGACCTAAGAACTCCTACTTGTACTACATGCATCTAAAAATTATGAAGTTATCTAGTATTTCTTAACAGCGCATTTAGGATGAGCCGCGGGTATAAAAAAAAACACGCTGTGAAAGCACAAACCTTTTTTTTTAATCTTATTATTTAATTAACACCGAAACATAAATAAATTAGGGTCACCGGCTTGATATATATTTATAACTAGCTTTCCGCCAGCGGCTTTGCTCGCGTGATTCCTAGGGAACTATTTGGTGGTATAAAAAGTATCCTATTATCTAAGTCAGCTAATACCCTATCTGTATACCACAATTTAATCAAAATCTGTTCAGTAGTTTCGGCGTGATTGACGGACAAACATCCAAACAAAGAAATTTTCACATTTATAATATGTAATTTAACAAGTACTCTTTCCAGAACTCTATATACTCTCTAAATAGGTTAGTATAAAAGTTCTTACACCACTGTAAAGATAGTGAAATAATATAAAAATCTTTCGATTAATGAATAATGTATGAAAAACAGCAGACTTTTATCCTGGATAATACATTCAAGTTGATGATAAATAATTGCACCTTTGTGTGTTTTGAAATTTATCTTGGCATAAATTTACATCAGTACCTACTGTTTATTTAATCTATAAACACAAATACCATTTGGCAAAGCTCGCATATCGGATTTATTTTCACAAAGAACTAATTCTTTTCAAACGTTTGACCTTAATGTAATTTTGGATGTTATTCATAACTGTTGATTCATATTTTTATGCCGCAAAGCATGAAATTAAAAAATATTCTTAACAAATTTGTAAGAAAATTATTTGAAATTTTATTTAAGTAAGTTAATAAGTCCGGTCCAAAATTCAATAAATCCCATAGAATCGCACTTACAGTTATTTCAGAATTTTCCTACAACTTATCTAATATCTACGTCTAGATTCCTTTATTTTAAATTAAATCAAAATGTATTTTAGAATTCGTCATTACCATAGCTAATACGGATATTTTTTTATTAATATTACGTTTACCTATTAACAGTATCGAGACATTATTGTTTCTTATTATATTTTTATTAATTTTGCATTTACAATGCCATACTGAAAATTATTCTTAATACAAAATGCTAAAAAATCCACTTGGTCCCTGGCACCCTGAGATGTTTCTTTCGGCTGTTTGGGTTGGATGCCTGAACGTAGCGAAAAGTAACAAGTGCTTCAAAGATTCGTCAGTCCTGTCAGGTCCTGGGTAGCTCAGTGTTTAGAGCAGTCGCCCGGATAGCGAAAGGTCGTGGGTTCGATTCCCATCTCAGGGTGCCAGGGACCAAGTGGATTTTTTAAGCATTTTGTATTAAGAATTATTGTTTCTTATCCATATCTACATTCAGACTTTGCTTATCACATTTCAGACCCCCAGAAAATTGCTTACTAATAATTTATAAAGCAGGTTCTTTAGAAAAATCTAAGATCATATCCGAGTTTATAGCTTAAGCACTGCCTGCAGCTTCAATTTCTTGACATGACTGCGATTAGTCGATCGTGTCACGATATCAATGAATCACTCGGCCGGATCATACCCATTCATTACATCTCCGGCTGAGCGTAAAGATCTGCTCACTTTCCCTCTTTTCCTGCGCATACCTACCCGAAGCGGAGCCAATGTAAAATGCAATTTCATTTTCCACTCGCAAAGCGATACTGCCATTCTTACACTTGATTCATTGTTACCGTGTTTTTATCGTTGTCAATCGCTTTATGTTTCGATTGCTTGGAGAGAATTTAGACAATAAGACCTTGTGATTAGTTTTGCGAATGCCATTTTTATTTTCCCCGAACAAATCTCATCGAATAATTTTCCTGAAAAGACTGAAGATAAAGAACGTGCTGAAAATTATACATGTACTCTTACAGAATCCCACTCAAGCCCAGCGTTTGGGTCTAACAGATTTGTCTCGCATGTCGCCTCTGATTGGTCTCTATCAATGATAGTTCGACCATTTCGGTGGGTTACAATTGCGTCGTGATCGCTCCGCATACCAAACTAACGCAACCGACACCGCGAAGGTCGATTTAAAGTTATTGTAAAGTGGTTCTGATTATCGATATGCATTTTCAAGTATCAAAACATTACTGTTACGAGTTACGAAACGTTGTTTTAGAAAATAAATGTCAAAACAAGTCTCCAAACCTGCGATTATTTGTTTCCTTTACAATCTATTACTATTATTACCTTGGAAGCAAACTTATTATATTTCTGACTTTAATCCATCTAACTGGGTTTGCTTGTTCACTAGACGGCGATAATTTGTCACTGTCTGTATTTATATTCTAACCCAAAGACTTCTAACACAAACAAGTCTTTGTCCTGGCCCTATTTGTTATAAATATGGCAAAGTATGTCCTTCATTATGGAAAATTGTTATTATTTCATTTCTTTTTTTTACTAGCAAATGAAATATTCTACTTTTACTTTTACTTATAACACACGCATCTTATTATTTACTCAACTTCAAATAATACCTGAAGAACATGTTTGCCATAAAACTTGGTATTTGCAGTCAATACAACGTAACCTGTTTCTTTACACACTGTAATGTAACTATGACTTACCTAAGCCCAAACTCGGTCACATCTAAACAACCGGATTCTGTTTGACTGTTATCACTTATCTCGATGTGGTCAACGTCTATCATTAACATCGATTCATTGAAAGTTTCATTAACGATCGGCTCAAGTTCTTGACTTTGAATCGAAATCTTAGATTATCTAAGGTCGGAGTATTTCAGAATGAAAGCCTGGATGATGAGCCTAGGCAGTTCTTTTTCAACAGATCACTAGTCCCAAATTCGGAACTGTTATAGGTAGTAGTGATAGTAGATAAACTTGTAATAAAATCTATGAAATAAAACATCATAATGGTTTCATTAAAGTTTACGTATGCATGGAAATGTATGAAACCAGCTGTTTTCTCGTGACTTGCATCAATTATAACCTACGGTGTCCACGTATGTAGCATTATCGGTGATGAAAGAATTTCCATGATCGGATCAGTATTTCTGAAGACTATCCCCCAAACTACATACAAACAAGAACACATATTAATATAGATAACATTTTTTCTGTGATCTATCAAAAAGAATTGTTGTTTTAATTTGTATGCATATAAATTAAGAGAACTCTTTGTTCGTATTCCAGGCGAGTCTACGGCAGTTGGACCTGTCACTGTTGTCCGAGCTGTGGACGCTCAGTGAAGCCATGGCGTCGTGGAGACGCCAGCTTGAGCGTGGACCACGCCTAAGGCCGGCGCCGCCGCCTCCGCCGCCGCCACACTACCTCAGAACATAGACCTGATGATAACACTTCAAATACTAGACTGCCAATACTTTCTTCTCAGTCGATATCCTGACAAAGTGAACAATGTCATTACGTAGTGCGATCGTGGACAAAGCGGCTGTTCCAGAATAATCTAATCCTAGCTTTAGATGTTTCATGAGATGTACTTGAATCAAAGAAGTGACATAACGTATTTGATAAACAATTTGATAAAGCAGTCCGCCAGTTTGACAACCGTGTTTTATTTTAGATGAGTCGATGTAGATGCCTTGCCCAACATTTTCATTTTAAGGTTTAAAAGACCGATGATCTGTCAATTTGAAAGATTGGCCTACAACTCAAATAAAGCATATTGTAAGATATACATCTATAAGGTTGAATTTATTAACAGGTATTAAAAGAAGAAATACTGATGTGGCTTCGTTCACGTCTAAATAGTTCATACTAAACCACTGGAAATACTTGCTTACTTCACGACTGACCTCTTATTTCTTTCTGACTCATCAAGTGCATACGATCAAGCACAGAAAAGATATATTTCTGTGCGATCAAGTAACGAGCCGTCCAAAGCAGCTTTTATTTTGTTCATTGCCTTAGATGGAAAACCGTACACGTGACATAATATAACAGATAAGTGGTGTGTTCTATACCACATTTCTGTATGTAAATGGCATCAATATATGTAAAGTAATTGTACTAGACACAAAATTGCATAGAGATCGATTGCTACTTCATTTCTCTATAGCAATTGAAGACTATAGAAATTGCTATTGAAAACAAAAACAAAAATTGTATATACAATTAACACATTCAAACGGATAATAGAGAATTGAATGACAGCTATCTGTCATTCTGTATATGTGTTTGAAATGTTAATTGGAAATACAAATTTTGTATTTGTCTTCAATAGCGTTTAGCAAGCACCGATTATTATTATTATTACAAAGACAGGTTAAATAGGCATTTTTTAATGAATATTGTGAAATTAAAATGCATTTTTGACTGCAAACTTATAAGAAGCAATTTTTTAAACTATAACCGCTAACTTATTGATATTTAGTATTTTGATCGATACTTTAGTACTTAATGATAAACGACTTTCTTGCGATAATTTATTTAAGAGAAATACTGCAGACTATATTAATATTGTAATTGCGTACATTCATTTTACTTTGTCAATATAAATGAAAAGTTATATGTAAAATAAATTAAGCTGCTTGTAATGTAAAATCCGCTGTCATTTTCCACTTTTAAAATAACCAAAATAAACGAATTGTAGCATGACACTGAAGTGGATGTTGAATTTATCTAGCGGGTTTTGCATGCTCAATTACTATTACATATACTTAATTTTAACGCAGTTGAACTACAGCAAAATCCGTAATACCTAAAAAAATTATTACACTAAAGTGTTGTAATAGAAACTCTACTTCTATTGGAAGCTGAGTGTTTATTATATATAAAAACAATTTTAGACAATGATTCCAGAATATACCGAGTAATTATTGTAAGAAAGTAATAACTGGTCTGTAATAACGGGATGTACTTTAAATAATATTTTGTGAGAATATCAAGCTCTACTTTCATACACTCGTTGTTTGACAAAAATAGTTTCACTGTCACTCTTACGTGTGTTATGTGTATATCGTGTGTAAACTATGTTAGAGTATTAGAACTAAGAACTTTTTTAGAATAAATGGTAACAAATTGTTAAAACTTGTTTTCTTATTTACATGCAAAGCCAAGCAAGCTGTTCCCATCGCTAAAACTATGTAACATATTACGCGGTGCCGACTCAATAAAACATAGTGCCCTAGACTAAACACTGTAACTTGGCGCTCTAGGAAAAAACCCTGTATCTTGGCGCCCTAGGCAAAACACTAACTTGGTGTCCTAAGCAAAACACTAACTTTATGCCTGACAGAGACAGACCTGACAAATACTGACAGGTTTAGATAAATATTCATCCGAAACCAAAGATAGCTATTAATATTTCAAATATTACCACCTGATAAACAAATAAAAATAGAAGTCCTGCCTTTAGTTTATGTGCGCAATAAAGTCTAATTTACTGGACATATTTTATTATTAGTGTCAAAATTGCAGGCTGCGTTTACCCACTAATTTATGTATTATAAAGATGGAAAATTCAAGTAGGCCCGGTGCCTACCTACCTACGTGTATCTATCTACATATGCCTTTACGCTGTAGCCCATGAGGAGTAGGCAAAGAGGATCGCATGTCGCAGAGCACGGTCCTTAGGTACATCTTTCGCTTCCTCTAGTTTTAAAGTTTTCTTTGCTCGCTGGTTTTTATGACTTATGGGATCACCTAAAAGCGCATAAATTGATTTATGATAATAAATACCTACTTCTGATCAAAAGTAAAATAAATAAAGTGTTTTTCTGAATCTGTAGGTTTGACGATAAACTAAAGGTAGTTATAAATTAAATGAGTATCAACACGTAACAGTCTAAATGAGATCTCTGACAGCCATTATATTTTTATTTTGGAGAGGGCGCCACCATCATGAGCATTCTTTCTTTACCTCGTTTCTAAAAAATTCTACGGAAATCCGAAGTTAGTCGATTTAAAAGTTGTTTTGCTTGATGAAAAGGGTGATATGGGTGTAACGTAAGATACAAGTCACTTATTTTCTTTGAACTGTTTTGTCTGAAAAGTTGAACACCATCCAACGTTTTAGTGAAAAAATAAGTTCAAAAACTAAAACCCGACTACAGCTAAATCGCGCTCCAAAATCTGTTAAAATAAGAATTTATTTTTTAAACTATTACGATAATGATATTATAATAGCGAGTAGCGATTAGATACTTAGAGCAAAGAACAGCGTATTCGTATGGCACTGATCATAACAAAACAGTTTTTGAACTCATTTTATATTTAATTAATTTTAAAATATATTTGAGCAAAATCGCAAGCAAAATATATTTAATTGAAATGTGCTAATAAAGCCCTTTCATTTTATACCCTACACTGAATGATTGAATAATATATATTTTTTTATTTCTTACTTTATGCTCTCTAGTGGGCGCTGTTGCCAATTTAATATGAAGTCATATTATAGCCTTATATCACGCGGATAACTAAGACTATAATGATATCTCGTTTGTCCAATTATGACGAGTAGTTTCGAAGGTATAAGGGAACAGATGAATATTCTTAAATACGTACATACAATACATACTGGACATAATCGTAACCTTCCTTTTTGCTTTGCCGTAGTCGGGTAAAAAGAGGCCAGAATACGAGCACACACATTCTTAAGTCGACTGAATACGTATTCAGCTATACTGGATTAAACCTATACCCATGCGATCATTCATTTGTCAAAATTTAGTCTTGAACTAGGCTGTATGATCTAAATTCTAGATCCCTTGGTCTCTTTAATAAAATAAAAAAGTAAAAATTGAAAAGAAGAATTTCGAATTTCTTGACGTAATTTTGTGTTTTTATTTATTTCTTGTTCTTCTTTCTATCATTATTAATTAAAAAAGTATTAATTGCAACTCATGTCAGAAACCTCACTGCAGGGAAACCCCAAGGAAGAAAAGCCTCCGTCTAGAGTTCCTGAATCAGTGAAGGTTAGTTGTTGTTCGGTTTTATGAAAATGAAATAAAATTTTTAGGTTTCATCAAAAAAAAATTCAAACCGAATCAATTTCTAAGCCTTTTTTAATGCATTTTAACTTCGGCACATAAAACAACCCTTCTGTTATAAGTACGTTGATAATACTTATTATTATTTCCAGAGAATAATAGCAATGGAAAAGGAAAATGAAACAAATGCTAGCCGTAAATCAAGAATCGATCTCAATGCACTGCCCACTCGACAATACTTAGATCAAACAGTAGTCCCAATTTTACTACAAGGACTGTCTGCACTAGCTAAGGAACGGCCGCCAGACCCAATCAATTACTTGGCAGCATATTTGCTCAAAAATAAAACTACATTTGAAAATAATAATTCAGGAACCAACAACAATCCACCACAAAACCCTCAGAGTTAACTTTAAATTAGTATTTAGTTAGTCTATTTTAACATGTAAGTATCCAGAATAGGACATTATATCCTTCTGATATTTCAAAAAATTTAGTTATAATAATTTTTTATCCAAAGAAGCTTTGAAGCAGCTGTATTTGTGATTAAGTTACTAATCTGACAGAGGCGTTGTCTAGAGTCTCTTAAAGTATGCATTAATATGTACACATATACTATTTAAATTATGTGCTTCGGCTATATTCGTCAAGCTTCGGCAATCCTAATGTATTTTAAAGATAACTATATAAAGTTGTTTTTACATAATTAATCATTTCGCTTAAATTTAGATTAGGTCAGCCAATTTAAAAATAAAAGTATACTGTGTTTCTAGTGTTTCTTGCCATCAGCTGATACCGAAACGAAAACCTCGGATTAAAGAAACCTAATTCAGATAAATCGGTTGTACGAACTAAATAAGTTTGACACAAGTAAGTAGAACAGTTTTTTAATAAAACAAAATTCTTCAATCACAATTTGATATGACTTCTATACCCGACATTTCAGACTCAGAATCATTAATGTTGCTGCTGGAACCAATGTTTTAGTACCTATATTCAAATAAGGTAATTTGGCTTATTACAGCTCTATACAATTCTTAATACTGAAATATTGCATGCTGACACTTCAATCACAGTCGAGGTACTGAGGAGTTTTGGTGGCTAAAACTATGATCACACATTGGTTTCTTGATTGGTTAAATTCGTAAACATCAAATATACCAAGGAGCATAATTTAAATAGTATATGTGTATATCATCTGTCAAGTGTGCAAGATCAAATATGTGTTATATATTTGTCAGTATTAATGTTCCATGACCTATGGGATGCAACATCTGTCAGATTAGCACCAATCCGAATAGATCTCGTAAACTAAAAGTCACTATTGAAAATATAAACATATGATTATATTAGATAGTTTGCTTAGTTTACACATCAGTAAAATCTCACTTCTTTGAATTGTGTTCTTATGTTTGTCACAAAAGCTCAATGATTATCGTTAAGTTCTTGGTTTTTAATTTCCGTTTATATTTCGATCCTGTAAAATGCCATTGCCGTAACAATTATTTATGTGAATAATATTATAAAAGCTATTATTGCATATTTAGTATGGTTATTAAACTAGAAGAATAATCTTGACCGTTTCTTGATGGTTATAGATTAATTGTATGAGATCTTAAATAACACATTGTGTTAAAAATGATTTCAATAAACAGATATTAAATGATAATCAATTTATACATAATGAACTCAATAATTTCAGTTATGTATGTAAAACTAGCCATAATTTTCTTTTTAAACAATAAATATGTCAATGCAAGAACGGAGTTTGTGGTTAATTATACATATAATATTTACAATCTGGGTTTTAAAGCATGTAAGTTGCTTGCAGCCAATCAAAATATCTTATTGACTATGTTGCTTTATACACCGTACTGCACATTATGTACAAATCTGACAGATTTGTATAACCTGATGTGCTGTACAGAGATATTATAATGTTTCATTAGTATGTCAAACAATTTTTTTCAATTGATCTTAATTTATTTATTACAAAGAAACAAAAACATGCCATCCTGCCTCTTTTAGCCTGCTGCCGCCCTGTCAATTAGAGTAAATACATCCCTAGCTGTATTGCCTTTTACATACTTCTTAAAAATAGCCTCATTTTATATAGTAGGTAATGAAAACAGTTACATAATAAAAAGTCAATTTTAATTTAAAAACATTCCTACTCCTTGTCTTGTTCGGTCTCTTCCAAGAACTTCTGCCGGTGCATAAGCCAAGAGTCATTATTATCAGCCCCTTCCTCTTCACCTACTACTGAAGGAAGTTCAAATTGTATAGTATCGCAGACAAAGCTCTCTTCAGTGAGGGAAGGTATAGAGTCGTGGACTGGTAACGGCACTGGCTCTGGTGGTAGAAACTCAGCCATATAAGCTGTCACGTTGCGCGCACGCCATACAGCTACTTTACCTATAAAATAATTTAGTATATTATGTAAATATGAACTTGATGGACTAAAAAGCGATGTTACAAAGTGAAGTTATATATCATGCGTCTCTATATTATTTTTTAAATTAATATACCAACATACGTAGTTACACGCAACTGTCAATGATATTAATGTACTATAAAGATTTAAGAGCTCGATGAGGTCTAGCACGTTTGGTTTCCGTTTGAGCAATTTTCTTACACGGAATGGAAACTGCCTTACCCATTATCTCTGCTACCTGACGGGGCAGCAGGGAGGTGTGGGACCTCCGAAGGATCTTCTTCATGCGGTCTGTCCCCAAGCCGATATTATGGTAGACATTTGATGATTAATTTCCGAAACTAAGTCAAATATCATTTTCTAATACTTAGTCTCTTGACACTTACTCTAACAGAGACAAGTCGCAAACTGCAGAGAAGCCACAACGGGTCGGTATTAGTAGCAAGATTGCTTTCAATTTCAATTATTGTAGAGATACATTTTGCAATTACAAAGCTATGTTAGTATTTTTCTTTAAGATAGCACATTACAATTAAACCATCCTTCTATTAATTCTCCCATTGTAAGCAAGTTCTTTAGATAGCGTTTCTTCGCACACCTACTACTAAGAATCGCTTAGAATTGAAGTGAGTTTTCTAAAATATAAATTTATCAAAAATATACTCTACCTAGCGTCTCGTCGATCTCTATCTCTTCTTCCTCTTCCAATCTCTCTTCTTTGACTTCCTTTTCCTCTTTTTCTTCCTCTCCTTCACCATACTCTTCCAAAGCAGGGTCCTTTACAAGCAAGTAGAATCCATGTTGCATGCAATTCGTATCGAATACGAAACACCCTGGTCCTTTCGGTTTTCCTTTTAGCCATGAGCCATGGTAGCGCACTCGAGGATAAATAATTTGGCCGGGGCCTTGGATCACTCCCTCCACCCACGTCCCCATAAATTTGACTTGATATTCCGCATAGAAATATGTCCCCAGGCCATGCCTCTTGCCTTTAAACCACGCGCCTTCGTAGATATCTCCATTTGGATAGTAGTAGGCGCCAAATCCTTGCTTTTGATCGTGTCTCCAATCGCCTTCGTATCGCGAACCGTCCGGGTAAAGCATAGTGCCAACGCCGTATTTCATAGCACGCCTCCATTCTCCTACAATTGTAAATTAATCATGCCCCTATGATACACATAAAGAAACTGACTAGCAGCACGAAGGTCTATGTCATCTATAAAGTAAGCAGACTTTCATTAATAGCACTAATCTGTAGTTCCTTTCGCTTGCCAAATAGTTGGCAACAGTTTGAGTAATAATAACAAAGATTTAAAACACGATGGAGATAAATTCACAGGTTTTATAACAATTTACCTTCATATCGCGCCCCGTTCCTGAAGACGTATAGCCCTTTGCTGTTCCGGAGTCCTCGACAATAGCAACCTTGGTAAAAGTCGCCGTTTGGTAAAACTGCCCATCCTTCACCGTGACGATCACCATCCGCGTTTCGACCACCTACATAAATCTATTCGGCAATGTTACAACAAATACAATTGTAGAGTTCGTTAGTATATTTTATTAGGCGCGCATAATAACAATAGATTAAAATATATTTATTTATATTGCTAGCATTGTGTTAAATTTGTTTGCAATAAGTAAGACTGTGGTAATTTTAATTAGAATAATTAATCACATACTCCAATTGTATCTTCATCTTCTCCCTTTTCTCCTTTTTCTTCTGCCATTAAGTATTGCAACTAATAATGAATTATTTGTAGGATTTCTTTTTAATGAATCTTAAAATTTAAGATTCTCTGTGACAACATTGACATTTTATAAGTTTATTTGTCGTGTCAAACGCATGCGTTTTGATATACTCTTTACTTTAATAATCATTAATAGAGCCTTTTTCAATATCCCTACACTAGTGGCCGCCAGCGACTTCGCCCGCGTTTTCCATTATTTCTTCGCTCCTAATAGTTGCAGCGTGATGTTATAGCCTAAAGCCTTCCTCGATAAATGGTCTATTCAACACAAAAATAATTTTTCAATTCGAACCAGTAGTTCCTGAGATTAATGCGTTCAAACAAACAAACAAACTCTTTAGCTTTATAATATTAGTATAGATATGTCAAAAACTGCTGAGTGTTCGAGACAATTTTTTAATTTACAGGAACATGGATACATAGAATGAAAAAGACAGCACTGGTGTTTGTTTGTTTGCATTGAATAGGCTTAAAAACTACTGGACCGATTTTTAACATTCTTTCACTACGGAATGCTACATCATTCTCGGGTGACATAGGGCTATAATTTACGCGGGCGAAGCCGCGGAAAAATAGCTAGTTACTTGCTTGTATACCTATTTGGTACCTTTACATCTTAAGTAAAAAAGCGTAATTTCCGAAAAGTCATTGCCATTACTGCGTGACGCTTTAGAGATTTTTGGATTTTATGTTTTCATTGGTATCGTAGTGGATAAGCGCCGCGGCCCGCGATCATAGTCGTTAAGCAACTTTCTCAAGGGTCGATCACGGGATGGGTGACCAAAAAATTATTATCTCGAGCTACTCCGTGCTTCGGAAGGCACGTTAAGCCGTTGGTCCCGGCTGCATTTGCAGTCGTTAATTATCCGCATTGGGCCAGCGTGGAGGGTCATGGCCCATCCTCCTTAACCTTCCATAAGGAAGGCCTGAGCCCCTGCAGTGGGGACGTAAAAGGGCTGGTGAAGATGATGATGATGTTTGGTTAAATCTACTTACTTATGTATTAATTTAGATTCATTGATAAACTCTACTTATGTATTAATTTAGATAATATTCTTTTTGGCGGGTCGATATTTGCCATTTTGAAATATCAACTAAGGGATAAATTGTATTTTTCTTCACAGAAGACTAAATGGACGAAACGACTTCCAATAGTGAAATTATGAGTAAAACAAGAATAAATAAAACAAATGTACATAATTTATTTCTCACAAGTTTGTAATAAATTACTAGAAACTAATTCTATATCTAATCAAAAACGCAAATAAAACAAACACTGAGATAGCTAGGTTTCAAACAACGAAGGTTAGCAGGCAAGTTTTGCAGACATACTGACTAGAAATTGATTATGAGAAGACTACAGATTAATGAAAGCACTACTAAAACATAAACACTGAAACTATGAAAGGTCAACACATTGCATACTCTAGTAGAATACAGACATTCGAACATAGCCTCGTATTTTTTAATAATAATATCAAAAATAAAATAGTTTCTATACAGATAATAAAAATTTAAATCGAAGACAAAAAGATCTATCTTGATAAATATAGAATTCACATAAAAATGAAAATATTTCATGTAGATGCTTTTATAAGTCTGAATTATAGAAATATATTAAAATAAAATTTGATGGGTGTAGAAAGTGCTTGGTTTTCACGCTTCTTTAATTCATCAATTAGTCAAAGTAAATAATAAAAAAACATATTTTGTACTTTTTTTTAGTTTCTTTTCCTGTGTGACATAGAGAACAATATTCACTGGCAAGTTGGCATTTCTCCATTGTATTTTCATTGACTACCTACTAGTTAAAGTTCTGTTATGTTTGATTGATAAACAAGGTCGAGCACTTGATTTTTTTCTTTAGGTCACGAGACTCGACGGCATGACCTCGATTAAGTCGCATTCCAATCAAAACATGTACTATCTACACATATCACTTAGATTGTACTTTTGTTAATAATCACTTTATTCTCTTATAGCTTATAACAATAGTTTAGCGGGGAGGTGCTTGCGGAGGAGCATCTTCAAGTTTTCCCCACACTACATTACACATTTCACGTACTAAAGCTTGTTCTCCTGAATCCAGGTCAGGTGCAGGCCTCCGCCTTTCCCTTTCAACTCGTTCTCGCACTTCCAACACCTGTAACGCCCTAACAACAGCCTCCGGTCGTTCATTAACGCCTCCGCCTAATCCCTTTTCAGCTTCTAATCGTCGCACTTTCTGTTCCAAGTCTCGAACGTACTGTACTGTTCTTTCTGCAAGCTGTGGGTGAGTGATGGCTACGCTGGGTGCTGCTCTCGGACCTTCATCCACATTCGTGCCGCTACTACTACCATCTCCATCATCTCGTTCTCGACCTGATGTCCTACCGCAATTAACACAAGTTGTTCGCTCTCGTTCTTCATCCAAATATAAACACAGCTCCTTTAGTTCCAAGTTGTCGCGTATCAACTCCTGTTGTTTATCATCCAATTCCCGGAGCTTGTTTTGGTACGCTGACACTTCTTGGCGCATCACAGACGCTGTATACCTTCCAAATCTTTGCCATTCACGTGCTAACTTGCGTCCTTTCTGTCTATCGTCATCCAGAAAGCAACACAAATCACGTAATTCCTGATTATCTTCACTCAGTCGCCGGTTGGCTTCTTTCAGTGCTTTTATTTCGTCTAAAAGTGTTTGAATTTGACGTCTCTGATCCGTCGAAGCTCTTGGACCGTCAGGTTCAACTCTTTTTGTGAACTTCAGCATGTCTGCCGACCTTCGGTGAATCTGTTCCTCTTCAATATTCCTTTGAGTTCTCTGTGTATCGTCTGCACTTCTAGCTCTTGTTGTTGGTTCTGGTTCGTGTACGATGGCTTTTGTTATTACTTCTGCTGATGGTCGGACTAAACGTAAAGCGCCTGGAGGTAGAGGGTATCCCTGTGGATATCCTTGAGGATATTTTACGAATGGTACTGAACTGCTCGGGTATGGTTCTGGTCCTACGCCGTGTATTCCGACCCCAAAAGGATACGATAATTTGTTAGGATCTAAAGATTTCCCTGTATAAGGTTTGAACTCTTTCGCAGCCGAATCAACAGTGGCTAATTTGGGGCCACCAGCAGCCGGCGGAGGCGGGTGATAATGCGGTGGAAAGTTGACCGGTTCTATCGAGCCCTGTTTACCTAGTTGTTGTTTTTGTTTATTGAATTGGCTTGCGTTCTGATTGATTGACATTGTCGTTGAAGTAGATTCACAGGCGGTAGTCAGCTCAGTGTCATCATTGCTGCGTATACCAAAAGTTGGTTATGTCCAAAATATCGAATTACAACAACGCGAAAGCCGCAGCAGCATGAGTTCAACGATTGGTCCTTGAATGAACGTTGGTGGGGGACGCCGGCTGCGTAGGTTGTAGACCGTGGCATTCGCGCAATTAACTAGATTTTGTATATTTGTCACTGTTGCACTTTGTTTACACTTTGATTTAAAGAAAAGCTTAATTATTTTGTTTTATTATTTAAAAACAAATGTTTTGCTTTTGTATTATTGTTGTTTTAAGCGCATATAATCGCGTAATTTCAGTAAAAATGACGCGGGCGTTCGCGAGCCGCATGTCTCAGACTGACGAAGGCGCGCGCGCACTCTACCTGCGAAGGCAGTCGAGGATTAGGGCTGTCAGGAGCGTACTTATTTTATAATTCGTTAGCTTTCTCAAATCACACAAAATTAATCAATAAGAAGGTTTGTATATAACTTAATAAAATTCTATTCATTCCATTTTTTGTATTTATTTATTCATTCATTAACAAAGTATTAAAATACAAACGAAATTGAATAATTCATACGTGTCTCAGATATTCTTTTCCTATTTTATTTCGAAAACTCACTTCACTTAAGCCACGAAACGTTAACACTATTCAACGTTAAGCGGATGTCGCTTTTGAAGTGAATTCGGGTTCGGATTTTTCGTGAATCGCTGTTGGTAGTCAGCCAGCAAGGCACGATATTCGACCTCCGTAGATTTGTGGTGTCATTAAATTAAAATATTAATATATATATTTATATAAGAAAACGTTATTGTTTCATAGAAACTGCTGTTTAATCTCCCTTTAACAATCGCTCTGCATGACAAACTCGACGTCACTTTTCTTGAGTCGAGAGTGAGAGAGTAGAAAAATATGCACCGGAGGCGGCGCGTGTATCCTACTTAATAACAACATAGACTACATAGAATTAACGGAAATTTCCAATATGTCAATTGAATATATAAAAGAGACTTTTGTAATAAAACTTGTTGAAGAAAAAATAACAAATTTTATAAATTCAATGTAATAGCAGGGGGTGATGTAAATTCGCATATGTTAGAAAAAATAAAATAAACAAAACGAATAAGAATAAAGCAAAAAACTCACTGATTTAATGCTACAATATAGGCTGGCTCAGCAAATAAAATGCCCTACTCGAATAAATAAAACAACCTCCACATGCTTAGACAAGATTTATTTGAACTTTAACGACAATACTCTTCAAATTACAGTAGAAGAGTTAGGTCTATCTGACCATAGTAGCACAATAATACATTTAAATTTGTCAAAACATATCAAACAAAAAACATGGTACACTGAAAAAAGTCATTTTAACAATAAGAATCTCGAAAAATGTAGAGTTCAATTAAAATCAATTGATTGGATGAATTTATTTGAAATTAAAAATAAAACTATTACTATTAACACCTCTATACCTCAAGGTAGCGTACTTGGATGTCTCCTATTTCTAATCTACGTCAATGATTTTGCAGAAGCTCTAAATGAATATTGCGTCATGTTCGCAGACGACATATCAATCCTGATATCTAGTCCAATTCAACAAATTTAAAAGGAAATATTAACGAAATATTATCAAAAACAACAAAATGAAACATAACTTACAAATAAAATTATCTAAAACCAAATTAATGTCTTTTTATCCTTATCAAAAACCACCACTAGACATAAATTACATAAACAATAATATTACAACAGAAACAGTAGATCAACATACATTATTAGGTCTAATAATTGATACCTGTGTTAGTTGGAAACCAAATGAATAGAAATTACATCGAAAATTGAACAGTTTTATTTACACGTTACGTGAAATAAAGAAAACTACAGATATAAATACGGCAATAACAACTTATTATGCATACGCGCGAGCATGGCTCAGCTATGGAATAATTTTATGGAGATGTGGCACTGATGCTTCTACCTTATTAACAAAACAAAAGAAACTCATGAGGATAATATTAAATATAGATGAAACAGAATCATGCAAGTCTTACATTATAAAATATAAAATCCTAACGCTACCTTGCTTATTATATATATTTGAACTATGCAAGTTTGTTGGAAAATACCCAAATTTCTATACCAAGCGAGGTGATACCATAATTAGACCTTTTAAAAGACGAAAATATATAAAACGTAAATTTTAATAAATATGATACTTATTTTTTTGTAATTAATATGCATTATAATGAATGAATGGATGATAAACAACAATTAGTAATAATACTAGGTAAATATAAGGATTTCATATATTTATGTTTAATTATAACATTAGCGAAATTGAAAATGTATAATTACGTATTGTTTATTTATTTATAAATTACAATAATAAAAACTAGTGCTCCTACTTTCTATTATTGTTGTGCTGTCGGGCACATAGTGAGATTAATTAAACTATGTAACATTATTTTTAAATACTAATGGAAACAATAAACTTATTGAGTATTGAGTATTCATGCTGTATGGATGCAACCGAGAAAAGTGGTATTTGGGTGTAGACAAAAAGTTCTCTAGTTCGTCATGATATGCGGGGCTCGGTCGGTCGCCCGAAAGATCCGTAGTTGGTAGAATAGCTAGCCCGGTAGACCGTCGGTCGGCATGTGTTGTATCCAAATATATGATGTGACAGCCCTGCCGCGGGTCGCCGCGTCTCACTCGCTGCGTCACGTTCTTTTGTATACTCCGTCGACACACACACAAAGAGACTCTACGGTAGAGCTTCTCTATATACCAATCTTCACGTTTATAGAGTACACAGGTACAAAATTCACGCGCAAACTCACTAATCTTATTCTTCCTTTTGAGAATCTTGCTCCATACACCTATCGCCTATTTATTAACATCCGCCTTTTAAATAAAAACGTGCTTAATTAAATAATAATCTTACTCACCTTTATATTATATATACCTTATTATATGTAGTAAGTACTTTTATCTTCGCGGTATCATTACATTTGATGTCGCAAGAAATCTAAGTCACGATCGCAAAAGGTCTCACATAGGTCGAATTTAGAAGATAATTGTACCTGTATTATCAAATTATTCTCAAGTCTTCTACTCCTTAAATGTGAACATTTGTTAATACAATTCTCACACATTTGATAATAATTTCACCATCCACGTTATACTATGCTGAAATAGAAGAATGTAATCGTTTTTACTCTTATAATTTAGCGGTGTACAACATGAAACCAAGCAAATTAAAAAATATATCAGTGTAGCGCCTGATAATCTAATTGAACTTTCTTAAATTATGTGGCGCCTGAATTCTTACAGTATGCTACAAAATACATATTGACGTATCAGGCGTTAAAAATTGTTATAAAGAAAATAATGTTCGTAAAAGTTTATTTCATATTTTCAGCTACAATAGTTGTGATGACAATCACTGTGGCCAACTATCCCGCACGCCGTTTTCATGATGTTGCTATCTCGTAAGACCCGGATTCCATTCCCGGTAAAAAAAAAATTCTTTATTGTCACGAGTTTGAGTGGTGTAGCTTCATTGTTTCCAATTTACGAAAACATGTTAAGCTACTTAATTTAGGATCACAGAAATGTATGTAACGCTGTTTAATATTTATAATTAATTCCGCCAGCGGCTTCGCCCGCGTGGTATAGTATTATACATAAAAACCTTCCTTTTGAATCACCCTATTTATGAAAAAAAAACCGCATCAAAATCCGTTGCGTAGTTTTAAAGATTTAAGCATACATAGGGTATATAGGGACAGACAAAGCGCTTTTATTTTACTATGTAGTGATATTGATATGTTTTCCTTTCTTTTCCATACCCTTATTCAAAGCTGGATAAGATACAGTAAAAAACTGTAAGATTGATGTCATGATAACTAAAACTGAAAGCCTACAGCATTTTTACTTGTGAACCAGATGATCTCGTACCGTTTAAATCGACAGTTTGAGTTCTGAAACTGAGGTACGACAATATTAGTTTTAGGGCAGAGTCTTTGATACCATAGTAATTTAGCTTCGTTACCTGGGGGCCAATTCTACTAAATAAATTTTGTTTAAATCGAATCGAAAACGGATCGTAACCGAAACGAAACTGCAATTCCAGTTCTATTTTAGCTGGAATTGTATTGTATGTCACTTAGTAGAATAGAAAAACCATTAAAAACTGTAGTTTGGTTTGGTTTCGATCCGCTTTCGATACGATTTAAACAAAATTTATTTAGCAGAATTGGCCCCCAGTGTTCGATGCTCAACGCAATTGGATAAGTCACAAAATACTCCAAGAGCTTTTCTTTTACAATTAATTCTTATTAAAAGAGTGTGCAAAAATGATACACTGGAATAAGTAATTCTAATCACAAACAATAAATGGGTTTCTCAGCTGTGATTAATGTGAATGTTTAATTGTGCAAGTACATTGTTTGTCAAGAGTAGGAGTAACGAAAGTCTGTGGCAACTCGGTCACCATCAACTTTACTTCCATTATATGTTAAGTTAAGAGAGGTTAACAGTACCAAACTGTTATGATTTGTGATGTTGCTCACTAATCGTGAGTTCTGATAAGTGTTATGATAAGTTTGAAAATAGAAAATTTAAGATATTGAGAAACCAGAATGTCACACGTAAAAACACTTATTAGAAAGTATTAGGTTAAATGTATTACAAAGAACGATTAATTGCTGAATACACAATTGTAATTAAGATTTGCACATGACTTTAAATCTTGACAATATATGATAGGTGCCAAGAAAAAAGATAATAATGGAATTCAATTCTAACAATACTAAAAGAATAAACGTAATAATTACTGTGTGTATATTATAAACATATGAAAAACAATGTTCCCGAGGTTATCAGAAGTAGAAGTCCTCATAATTTTATTGTTAATTGTTTTGAACAGCTGATACAAAAATCTTCCAGTCCGTTGACGGTTTGCTGCGGTTTATTGCGATAATTATCGAACACATATGTAATGTTACACTGTAATATCACTGCCATATATGAATTATGATGCATGCACTATTGCTAACAAAATTTATTTATTTAAAACTGAATAAATAATTTAATTATAATTTTAAATACGGACGAAAACATTTGACAAGTGAGGCCCATCGACATCAATAAAGCCAGAATAAGTTCCATTACATTAGAAAACATTTATAATCTCATTTTAATAACTTAAGTATGTGTCGAGAATAAGTAAGATACCGAGCCTGTATATTTAAATAGCAACCCAATAGTATTATCCCTTTATCACTAAAGAGGTTATATTCTAATGAACCTCCTGCAAGTTCCGCTCTGTGTGTTGCTTGCAGCATTGTCTGTGGTCAGTAGTACGACGTCTACCAGCCGGTAAGGATGCGTGCGTCTGCGCAACAACTCGTCGCAATTACGGTGGCGCTGCTTTACCAAGGTAACACTGTCATATTAACTAAGCTAGCGTAATTAAAATTTCCTATATATCAGAGCTAAAAAGTATAATACTTTAGGTTTTCTGTAATGTAGAGATATTGTTTAAATTGCATTTCCTTTAGATTACTACAAATTTCTGAGTTCGATTTCCTTTCCCATGATTTTGTCCAACTTTAATATTAACTCAAGCCCTCCGCATGTTCCCTACAATATTATATTGATGTTCACTTAATAGGTTTGCTGTATAGATTCCAAAGAAATAAAGATTATTTCATAAGTTGCCATCATATGAATATTGTAACTAATTTAAAACAAAAATAATTTTTGCTTTGAAAAGCACGAATCTGACATATCATGTATCTTACTTAATAAGTTTAAACTGTTAAAATTCACAATTTTAAAATAATCATAAAAAAATAAGGGAATTTCATTTGCATTGCATTGCCAAACCTTAGAGCTGTGACAAAAGTAAATCCAAAAGATTTTCATTAAACAAAAACTAGTTTTCCTAATAAAGAATGCTTAGAAAATCAACTTTGTCCATCACACTCTGAGATGGGACTCGAACCCTTTGGGACTCGACCTTTCGCAATCCGAGCGACTGTTGTAACCACTGAACTACCCAATAGGACTGACGAATTTTCCAATCACTTGTTAGTTTTTCGCTACTACAGAGCGTATTTTCATCAATGTTCAGGCAATTCACCCAAACAGCCAAAAGAAAGAAGCTGAAAGACATATTTTTACAAATATTTAAACTTTTGAAAAATATGAAAAATTTTCCTAATTATTATCTTAAGTTTAAATCTCAGAGTGCCAGGGACAAAGTGGATTTTTTAAAGTATTTTTTATTAAGAATATTATTTAGTATAGAGTTGTGAAAGCAAAATTGATCAAATATAATTAAAAGTTTACTTAATTAGACGCCATGTCAATAACTATCCTTAAAATTTAAATAATTTTATTAATGTTGAGTAGGTAAATCTATTTTTTATTAGAGCTTGCGTAGGAATTTTAAAAACATTCGTTTGTAAGTACCTACATAACTCGAGAGCGATAACATCTATTTACTTTTCTTTCTTTCTTCTTTCGTTTCTTATTTTAAGATAAAAAAAATATATAAAAATGACTTGAAAAAAATCAGGAACTACTTCGAAAGTCTGCTTCTTAGGATTCCAAGTGATAATAACTAAAGAGCCTGAAAAAACTGGACTGAATATATCGTTCCCAGAGTCAACAATAATTATGGGTATAAAAGTCATAACAAGAGAATTCCTATACTAAACAGCTTACCTGAAAATATTAGACTTAGAAAAGTAGATTCAAAATATTTGCCAATTTACTAAAGAAATATTTAGTGGATAACTTGTAACTTTTGTATTTGTGATATGTAAGCACTAGTGTCATCTTATTATGCAATTAGATGTATATACTGAAGGTATCATTACATAATAATTCAGACTCCGAGCCTATCCACACACAAACTGTTAATATAGTTTTGTTATGCGAATATTAAGTAATTCTTGTACTGAAAATAAATCAATACATAGTATAAAATTTTGCTTTCCATCAGTCCGTTTTTAAAACTACGGATTTTGATGTGATCTTTTTATTAAATAGGTTATTCAAAAGCAAAGTATTTATATATAATGCAGAACCACACTGGCGTCGCCGCTGACGGAAAGCTAGTAAAAAATAAAGTATTCTCATAAATTAACAGTGGGTGTAATTAGTTGTTTTAAAAAGAAAGTTAAAATTTTTGTAAGCTTGTGATATACAGTTTTTCATTACTAGTACTTTCTATGGATGCCACTATGTGGTCTGTGAGTGGAATAATGTATACCTATGTGAAATCTTCGATGTTGTAAGCTCGCGACAGTTACGACATATATAATTTCCGTGATCTCATTGCGAAAAAAACAGCTACTTTATGTGAGTACCTATGTGTTCTAACATATAATTTTCTTATAATACCTTCAGAACCTCTTAATTTTATTAAAATAAAAAAGCAATAACTTTAACTACATACCTAAAACAGATAAAAGGCAAAAATCCTATTACTTCAGTTATTTATATTTAATAAATTTTGCATTCACATTGCTATACTGAAAAAATAATTATAATGGAAAATTTAATGAAAAAAAAACCACTTTGTCCCTGTCACTATGAGATGGTACTCGAACCCATGTTGCTCTAAAGCAGTCGCCCAGATTGCAAAAGGTCATGGGCTCGAATCCTATCTCAGAGTGCCAGGGACAAATGGATTTTAAGCATATTTCACTAAGAATACTGTTACTTTACTCCGCCACTGGTGAACCAAAGAATCAAAAAATCGTGGAAGTAGTAATATTTAAATAATTTCTGTGACGTTATAATAAGACGGCCACAAAAATGAAGGTTTCTATACTAATATTATAAAGAGTTAAAGTTTTTAATTTTGTTTCTTAGTAGGGGGTAATCTTTGGATATACGGATCCGATCATGAAAGTTCTTTTACCTACGGGAAACTATATCATACGCGAGTGAAATTGCAAGAAAAGTGCCAGTTCTGTAAAATCAGCGTTGAGCTTATCGTTACCTATAGCGCTATCATAGCATAGTTTCGATGAAATAAAACTTTTATTAGCTTTGAATACGGCTTTAATCGAACCTCTATGCTGTAACACAGCTGTGCTTGACGTAGAGATATGTGAGGTGGTTACCCTTTATTATAGAATAGAATAGGTTTTTATTTGGCAACACAAATCACATACACAATTAATCATCATAATCAACAGCCTATATTAAAAGCAATCGAATCGAATAGGGAGAATGGGACAAAACCCACCACGCGTGCGATTGCGGATTATGAATATAAATGACTGCAGATGCACCCAAGATCAATGAGCCTTCCTAAGCAAGGATCCTATGCCCGGTCCTTGCGAAAGTTGCTTAACTACCGTATCGCAGACCGAGCGCGCTAACCATTGCTATATCGACCTCCTCTTAATTTTACCTATAGAGAATATAATTTAAGTTCATATTCATCTTCTCAGGGGCGAGTGGTCAACGGCATCCGATCAAGGAGGCTTTATTTCTTCACAATGATAATTACAACGCGACATTTGAGGACTGCGTGTGGCGACGCGAGAAGGAACCGTGCCCCGACCCTGACGTGATATTCAACATGTACACAGAAGCTGAACCGGTCAAGAAAACCGTAAGCAATTGTTTTTTTAACCTCATATTTATTAAGTGATTAGAATTATTGGAAGATCGACTTTTTAAACACCGTAAATTGCGCCGTTTTACGCGATTGTACCGGTAAAAGACACTATTAACAATATCTTATAATACAATAATGTAAAAATGTTATTTGTTATAACTAATACAGTTACTTACCGAATATGCCAAATTTTCATATTATTTTCTTACTATATTCATAATAAACAACACTTTAGTATAAAAGACTTCAACGCATCACATCTAATTGTATAAAATTATTGAAACGTCAATTAAATTACTTATATACCTCAAAAGCTTAGATTTTTTTACACAAATGCCTACTAAAAAGAGTGTAGTGTATTTAATGTTAATATGTACTTGGTTTATTTATTACACCATAACTTTTAAAAGACTTTAACGGATATAAATGTATAAGGTATCATAAAAAACGTTACATCATCCTCCTGAGTGACACTGGCAAAATATTTATTTTTTAATATTGAATATGGCGAATGTGTGACGCTATTTAAAAAAAAATCTTTATTATAGTAATACGGTTATCAATTTTAAGGCCTTGTTGAGTACAATATATAACATTTACATAATTAACAGCACACTAAACGTAATAAAATATATATAAGAAACACAACGACCAAAATACAACTAAAAATAAAATAATCTCTTGACATATTTATGACCTGTCATATACGCAAATACTTAGCGCAAGGCGCCGTATATAGAATATCATAACTTTAGACATTGCTTAATTTCGCTAAGTGGTTCCTAGCAATGGTGAAATGCATTTTTACCTTAGGCGATTCCTACATATCTAGGCAACAGATTTGGGCGACTCCTAAGTTTAGGGAAAATGGGCATTAAACTCTATATCACCTTAATATACCTTTGTGATTATATATTTAATTATGATTATTACACCCGTACTATATCGATTCAAAATATAAATGAATCAGTGATATCACCAAAAAAACCGGTATTTTACAAAAGAGCAGAGTAATGAGTTTGTATAGTGTTGAATTATGCAATAAACTGAGGTTATATATTCAGGAAACATTAAAAGGGTCATCTCTTATTAAACGACGAGCCTTGCAAGATAAGGTCAAGCTTTTATTCAGCTATTATAATATTCGATAAGTAAAACTTTATTAAATACTATTCTTTCTTAATATGAGTGCTATTAATATATATTTAGTGATATTTTGATTTTTATAACGATTAATATTTATGATTTTTTTTGAGTTAAATCGTGCAGTTCGATACGCACTTAGTAAATTTAGATGCATAATCAGTACACTTATTACTATTGGTGCTCGAAATAGTGTTTTAAGATTCCGAACTCATTCCCTTTCTGTTTTGAAGTTGGAGTGAACTTGACATGATAAATGAGACGAATAAATGAATGTATGGGGGGAAAACCGAAAATATTCTAGGTTTTCCAGAAGAATTTAAGTAACATAGGAAAAAAATATTTATTATTTACTACATACACCGTAAACGCAGACATGTGGTTCTTCCCCAATCGATGTATTGATTACAATTTTTGAATAAAATCCTGAAAGAGATATTTAGAGAAAAATATCCGTAATCACGAGTGTACCCACGATGGGCCAAGGTTTGATTTAGAAATATTACATGGGGTTATTAAATGAAATACTATTTAATTTAATTCAATAAATATAAAAAAAATTCACCAGTATTTTTAGAGTACTCGCAGGTTATTATTGAAATGAAGTTATCATTAAAAAGTATGCGAAGTTTAAAATATTTATCCAATTTCGTTACTTTTGTCCACTTCAAAATAAATATTAGGTGCTTGATAAAGATGTGTTTCAATGTCTTCATCTTGAATTACAGAACTATCTACAGGTGAAAATTATATGACTTATGATTAAATCACGCACAAACAGATAATGATTTGACTTATAATCCAATTTTATGCCTCCGACTGCATGTTATGTATGACATTGCATGATTTTTTATCTTGTTTCAGCCAAAATTTTATTTGTCTTTTTAGTTAGAGAAATTACCAGGTTGGTTCAGAAAGTGAAAGAACAAAGTCTATAGTTTTAAACTTTATCATTATGTTACTTTTATTAGTATTAAGGTAATAGTCATGATATAACTTTTTGGAGTCCTTATGTTGAGCCCTTTAATATGATACCCAATTTTTTTTTATTATTAAATGAAATGGCGTTGCGTAACGGCTATATTTAACTTTTTAATGTTTTTAAACATTTGGGCTACTATGACAAATCTAATGATAGGGTCAAGTGTTGTAACTTTGGACGGCTTTACCTATGGACACCTTAAATAACCCAAAAACTAAATACCAAACATTTTTGACTCTCGGTATCCTTGAAATATTACCATTTTGCTCGATCTCAAATTAATATGTCAGTTTGCCGTTCAAAAAATAGTATATAAAATAGTATTTTTATGCGTTTTTATGAAATATAGATAAACATACGAGCACAACTTTATATGAATTACATAATCTGTTATGTATTGATTTGGTATGAAATCTCCAAAGATATGTGTAATGTTGTTTAACCTTATGCAATTTAGAAGTTGTAACAGTTTATTTGTACCTATGGACAAAATAATATTGTATCTGTGGACTGTCCATAGGTTCAGTGATTCTGTCGATATCGAGAGGTAATAAAGAATATTACATACATACAAGATACGAGCGAAAAACATATACCTTCCTTTGCAGTCGGGAAAAAGGTAGTACGAAGTTCAAGGGGCCAACAAGTGAAGGTAAAAAGATAAACACCAAACTACTGAAACGATTTTATTCAAATTTCAGGTCAAAGAGAATAGCAACGCGCGGTTAGATCAGATAATATATTAACAATCTACATCATTTAATTATATGGTTAAATCAGTTTCTTAAATGTAATATTCACTTGTTTTTGCATGAAATGCAATTAAGTAACAAAAGTGACTCTTGTTGTCTGTTTTGTCTATTGAAAATATACTTAAGCACATTTCCCACGTGTATATTGCATAATTAATCAAACCAATATACCATTACATCAAACATTACTAGTAGCGTTTAAGAATGATAATATTTCAGACGACAGATCTTGACGAGGCCCTTGTCCGTTGTGGAAAGAATTTTAAAGTATTACTTTGCATGTGACTTTACCCGCGTAAATTTATCAAAAACCAATTTTTACAGATTAAAAAAAAATCACAAATATTTTTTCCCCATTAAATGAGTACTGCTTTTACTATAACATATCTCATGTTACTCGTTGATAATATAGATTTATATTGTAGAAAGAATTTAAAAAAAATCGGTCCAGTATTAATTAGTTTTATCCTTCACTAAAACAAAGAAATAATCTCCTCCATAAAATATTTGTATGGATTAGCCAATGACTTCTTCTTAGGATACTAGACATTGAGGTCAAATACAGATCAATAGTATAACATATACTATTCCCAACGAAATATGGACATTAAATGCAGGTGTTATAATTTCGGAGATTAACGAGATATTAAATTATTTTCCATAAAACTTGTACCTATATGAAAGAACACCATATTTTAAGGCTAACCAACAGAATTACTGAATATGCAGAAAACTAAAGGCCTATACTAATAATTTTATATTTTAATTATTATTTTAAATTGCCGTAGTTCGTCCATAACTCACCATGCAGATCCCAAGAGGTGGTGTCTGTTAAGAGGGCTATTATAACCAAAGTCAGTAAATTTTATAAGAAGTATTAAGAAAGAAATATTTTTTAAATAGTAACTTACTAATTCTTATTACTACTAAGTAAGAAATAATCGGGAAAACTCATATTTCTAGGAGGACTATCACGGCCAAAACGTGTACATATATAATTTAAGTAAGTTTCCCCTGAAAATCATGTTCTTTTTCTGTTTCTTGTTTTAAATTATACTCTTTTAATACCAACCTTTCTAATTGTAGTTTCACACGCGCAATCTAATGAACAGACAATTAGCTTATCATACAGAATGAATTCCTGTTTCAATCAATAAAAAATGCGTATTTTCTTTCTTTATAGTTGAATCCTCGTTCATATATTAAAATTTGAATTAAGTCCACGGTCGACGCTTCGGTCTGTGACTGACCGACATGCAATTGTTTGCGAAAACAGAGTGTGTAATATCATACCTTACTTCTTGTTAGTAAGGGGCTGTCCATTAATCACGTGAGGCTCGAAAGGGGGGGGAGGGGTCCATAAAAAAGTCACGAAATATCACAAGGGGGGAGGGGGGATGAAGTAACATATCACGTGTATTTATTTTTTCGACAAACGCGCGATACTCAACCGAAAAGCGGCGTAAACAAGTGTAATAAAATTATTTTTTCGTCAAACGTCTACCTCTAGACATTATTGTACTCTTTAATTGTCTATAATACAATTAGAAAATTAAGATTCATTGTAAATACTAAAAATACACGTGATATATGGGGAGGGGGGGGGGTCTTAAAAATCACCATGTATCACTATGGGGGAGGGGAGGTTGAAAAATGCAAAAAAAAACATCACGTGATTAATGGATGGCCCCTAAGACGATGAAAGATAAATAGAACCCAAGAGAGCTAAATTATTTAATCATGAGTCATACAAGCATTTGACATTTAAATAGTTCTGCAATTTTAGCTAACATTATTCAAAATGCAAGATGAAGATATTAAAATACATCTTTACCTAGCACCTAATATTTATTTTGTGGTGGGGCAAAAGTTAAGAAACTGGATATAAAATATTATAAATTTTACATGCTTTTTAACGATAACCTTATTTCAATAATAACCTGCGAGTATTATAAAAGTACTGGCTAAAACTTCGTTTTTTTTTTATTGAAATAAATAAAATAGTGTTTAATTTTGTGACTTCATGCATTATTTCTAGGTCAAACGCCTTACTTTGGGATACACTCGTGATTACGGATATTTTTCTCTCGTTATCTCTTTCAAGATTTTATTGAAAAAATTGTAATAAATACATTAATTGGGGAAGGATCACATGTGTGCGATTACAGTGTATGTAGTAAATAATTTTGTCCTAAGTTATTTACTTAAATTCTTCCGTAAAACCTATATTTTCGATTTCATTAAATATTTTTTAAGTATGAACGTCTCATTTATCATGAAATGTGCACTAGAACTTCGAAACAGAAAGAAAAAGAGTTCGGAATCTGAAAAAACTATTTGAACACCAATAGTATTGATACTGAATCTAAATTTATTAAGGGCGCATCGAAATATAGGATTTAATGCAAAAAATTTAATAAGTATTGATCGTTATAAAATCATAATATCATTAAAAATATATTGATAGCACCCATATTAAGAAAGAATTTTTAGTTACTCTTTGTACTCGTTATTTGCGCAGTAATTACGATATTTCAATAAATTCATAAATTCAAGTTGAACCTTTTCTAGACGGGCTGTTTTTTTTATAGAAAGGTTTCCAAAATAAAGCGTACAAAACAAAGATATTATGAGGGTCATTGAAGGGTTTTGACATTCAAATTATGAATCCGATAGTGCGAAATGCCCTTTTTTTGATCATAATGTGCTTTGAAAGATAGTTTACTGTTCACAGTTATTACTAAATCTCTAATACTATCGACTCGCACCAATTCTATATCGTTAATCTCATATGGATATGTAATTGTTGAAGGTTTTCATGAAAAACTAATGATATGCTATTTGTCAGTATTAAAGAATAAGTGATTATCTCGGCAATATTTGATTAAAAGAGTCCAAATAGCTTTGTAATCCACGACAATCATCTTCATTAATGATGACGTTAAATATTTTTGTGTCGTCTGCATATTGTAGGTGGCAACACTTACTCAAGGCTTCATTAATGTCACTAAGGTAAATGCAAAAGAGGATAGGTCCAATATGAGAGCTCTGCGGAACTCGAGATGGAATAGATTAAAAGGCGGAACAAAAACACTTTGCGCAAACAGCTTGACTACGGTTGTGAATGTAACATTCGAGCCATCTAAGCAAATTACAGTGTGCACACCGAGTGTCCAAAGACTTTTGTAAAAGTATGTTATGAGAAATTTTATCAAACACCTCTGAGAAGTCGGTATAAGCAGCATCCACCTTTTTGCTCTGAGATATAGCTTGAAGAACAGTCTCTGTAAATGTTATAATATTGGTGTCAACCCTGCGAGAGTTAACAAAACCATGCTGCATAAGGGATAAATGATGACGGATAATAAACTAATATATAGCGACTAATAACCAGGGGTCGGAATTAGGTAGAGTTATTTATGTACTTGCATCGAAATGTTGATATTAATGTGGACCTTCCCGGGATTTCTTTATTTGTTTATTTCTTCTTTCTTTCATTGATGTAAATTTGGCAACGTCGTGCGTGCAGTAGTTTAAATTGTGTAAAAGTAAATAACTTCTTATTTAAAAAATCACGGGATTTTTTCTGCTCTTTAAAATTAATCTCGGGATTTGAGGCATATCCACTTTATTCTTTCGCTGTATGAAATCAGTGTAAGTACATGAATAACTCTACCTAATTCCGACCACTGCTAATAACAGTCAAAATTCAATAAGGTGTTCATTATGTTTGATAACCTAAAAATTTGCCTAATGTCATTAGGTGGCTACTAATCGTTGATGCAATGCATTTTCACCTTAAGCGATTCCTAAATATTGAGGCGACAAATTCGGGCGACTACTAGTTAGTGACAACGGGCATCAGCGTCCGTTATAGACACTACCTATTATTTTTCTTTACTCGTGAAAGTAACTGTCATTCAGTATTGAAATTGAACACGTAGTAGCTTTTTGTGTTATCTATTTTCTTGAAAACAATTCTTTCTTTTAATAAGTAACTCAGAATGCCGTTGTGCTGACGTTTGGCATAGAATGCGTCCGACCGCTAGCCGGCCTGCCCGACTCGCATTCATAATAGTCCTCCGCGATGCCCGAAAACAATTTAATTGTGTCATATCTATATCGGCAAATAGGTATGTCGGTTACCGGAATTTTATTACTGAAAAGGTTTAGACTATCATTTGCTTAGATTAATCTAGATTTCGGGTCCCCATTCTATAATTTAAGCTCAATAACAAAAATATTTTATTCTGCGCATAATTATTATAGACAATATACTACAATTGGTAGATACGTATTATACAAATGAGCAAGTCTTTCATTACAAGTTTTCTGCTATGATAAAAAATAAGTAAAGGTTCAAATGGGAAACAGCAAAACATAGTTTGGTATATGCTCATATGTGGGTGGGATGTCTGATTAAAAATAAAAGTCATATTAACGAACTTCTTCTTCTTGATATGCCACTCCTATCGGAGGTAGGACAGCGTCATGTTTATCTTTATTTTAGAGGCTGCTGCTCGGTACAGGGATGTAGTGCTCCGCCCAAACCAATCCCTTAAATTTCTAAGCCAGGAATGTCGCCTACTTCACTGCACTGCGTTTCCCTATAATTTTCCCCTAAATTACGAGATGTAGAAATAGGGGTATATATCCCAAGTAGCACAAAACACCATTACATCAAACTTATAATAGCACGAATCCAAGCGCTAAGCATTATAATAAAATCGTATATCAACCGTATTTCTTTTAAACGACTCTTATACATAAAATTTGGGCCCCCCCTTTGTATGACTTTAAGCTTTATAAAAGCTGTGCAATAGCACTACAACTTTTGTATAATAGCATTAATAAAGTCGGGTTAAAGCATTCTAATAGCCACAAAAAGTTCAATTAGCACCTTAAAGTGCTAATTGAACTTTTTGTGACTATATTACAATTGATATGCGTAAATCAAAATTATAATACGTTAATTTAATATTATAAAAATGCTTACTGTTTTATTTCCTTTGTAAAAAAGTATATTTAATAGATTTTAAAAACATATAATCGGCTTAAATTATTGTTTTGTGTAAGTGTCATGACATGTTCTCTTGGCTGGTCTTTTAAGTATTTTTGAATATTGATTTAAACAGCTCGTTTTGTGTGAAATAAGCTGCACACATCAGTTTGTGGAGTAAAATATACAAGTTTATGGTGTAAAATACACGCGCCTTCGCAAACTTCCTTTAATATAATAAAAATAATAAAAAATTTAACTTAGTAGCATAAATTTTTGTTGAATTTTAGGCTTTTTAGCATTGTTTTAACAACATAATTGCTTTTAAAGGCATCTGTGCACAAAATAAATGATTATTTACCCCTTTTCATCTGACACAGTTGACTTTAAATATTTTGTAAGAATTGGAAAAAGAAAGCAAATGGCGACTCGTAAAATTAAAGCATTAGGTATTCAAATATGGTGTAGTAGAGCTGTTAATCATATTATGGTTAGACACAAAACTAAGAGCTCGTAATTCACCGTATAACACACTCCCATTTTAGTTACAGCCGTATTTTTACACTTCAGAAGTATCTTATAGTGCTTATAATCATCAAACGATTATTTCATTTTTATTTTGATTTTTAAAAGCTTCAATTAAATTAGAATACTCTTTTTTCAGTTTTCATTTATATCCACCTGTTTCTTTGTTTTTCCCAACGTTTTTTGTCCATGGCGCCAGCGATGCGTATAAAATGCCACCATTACAATACAATACATAAAATAATTTTACATTTTAATTTCACATAAAAAATAATTACGATCTATTTATTACTTCTATCTCTATAAATAACTTAATATTGATCAAAATATAGCTTAATGTTTTATAAAAGCATAGATTAAGAAGATAAAGGAGCTTGAGCTTGATTAAAGAATACTTTAAGAACAAATCGGTGCTAAAGTTTTACTAGTTCTTTATTCAATGTGTATATAGGATAAGCATTAAATCGATACAACCATAGACCATTAGAAAACCTTTGTTTCTAGAAAATGACTAAATACAACTAAGTGCACTAAATAGTATTACGTTAATGCTTATATAATATATAATGTTTTTCATATCACCGAAATACGATAACAGCTTTATATTAATATTACCCAATACTTAAATAGGAGTTTTGACATTGGTATACTTTTTTTATTAACCATAATATGGCATTAAGCATTATTAGATAAAATAAATGCCTTTAAACAGATTCGAAACTTGACCAGAGCTGATTAAAAATGTTAGTATGACTTTAGGACATAAATCAGTACTTATTTTAGTTAATATATTATTTATGTGCTACTTGGGATATTACGAACATTAATTTTAAAAAGACTAGGTAGCAATGTAAGTCCGTGAAGTATCCTGATTCACTATCAGTGCCCAATTTACCGCCTTTCGCGTGCAGTTTTTATATTATGAATGTTAAGGGCCCCCTTTTATATATACAAATACGCAAAAAAATACCAATCGAGAGTAAAGACGCGATCTCTTGATTTCATAGATTTAAATGACACAAAACAAAATAAATGTTATAGTTATATAATATATATATAATAATTTTATATATATAATAATTTTTTATATTATCTAACACAATATATAATATAGTGTTAGATAATATAAAAAAAAATTGTATATATATTTTATATATAGTTAAGATGAAATATATTTGTCATTAAATCGATCCAAAAAAATCTATTTAGAGTCATTCTACCTCTATTTAGATTTTTTCTATCGAGTCAGTTATTAAAATTGTTATTTGCGAACAATCGACCATACTATTAAATTTTATAAAACGTTTTTTCGGCATTAGGCAAATATTTGCATTGCCTTAAAATAATATTGATTAAAAAAGTGGTAATTTCGTAAAATCTCACCTTAATTGTTGAAGGTGGACTTGTTTAGCGAAGATTGGCTGCGACAGAGCGGCTGGGAGCCCTCGCACGAGACCATCCTGCTGGTACACGGGTACGCGGGCGGGGACGACACACTGCCCATCACTGTGCTCAGAGATGGTAAGACTTCATAGTGAATTAATATTAGACACCATCACGTAGATTCTAACGTAGATGCATACAAATTCTGTAAAAATCAAAAAAATCTGCGGCGAACTCAACGTTTATTTAATTGAATCTCTTTGCTGTGTCAGCACTGTAATAGACGTTGAGTTCGAAGCGAAGGTCCGTCACCCGTGCATAGAATCGCTTTCTTAGATAAATAACTTGTACCTAAGCCTATGCTTACTCTACATCCTTCCAGCTATGCCAAAAAAATGTCATCTGTATCATTGCTTTATGACGTTAAAGTCGGACTTAAAAGTGCGATATTTTCTGTATTATCACCCTAAAACAACTGAACCGATTAAATTAAATTTCGTCAGTCATTTAGTACAGTTTTTATTTTTCTAGGGCTGAAAATAATGGTAGCAATTTGTATGGGAAATCGATAATATTTCATATTAATTAATGATTAATAACTTATGTAAAGAAGATGTAGTATGCAAAATAATTACATCATATTCATCTACTTTATCTATTCACATAAATTTTTATACGTAAATATAGCGTTTTCACATCGGAGTATTAAATTAAGTTATTTTTAAACCTTAACGTATGTACATACATACTCGTACATAGCGTGGCCCAAATGAAGAGAGCTGCAAAAAACAACAGCTACTGAAAATACGATTGCAAAAAATCCTCTTGATATCAGAAACTTGGACCTGTAGGATATCTAGACTAAAATAACGTAAGGCCTATTTTCAATTATTTATTCGCATAATCATAATGGGGTCGTTGACACTGGAGAAAGCTGTGGGAAGTTGCTGTATCGCCTGGCGTGTGTATCATCACTCGACAACAGCGCAGCGAGCACGATGCATTTATTTCCTTTCGCTTTCTTTACCGACACTTTTCTTATTGTCATCGGTACTCAGACGTTAAACAACTACAATTTAGCGTGATACTAGAGGCGACTATGGTAGCATTGCGAACTACAAAGTCCAAAAAAGAATAAAACAACAGAAAATAGAAAAGCATGTCACTAGCTAGCTAAAAAATTGAACAATATGTTTTTTATATAATATGTTTCTTATGTAAAAAGTCGAGAGTTTAAAAATTTTATTACATTTCGAATTAGAATCGCTTTGGGAATCTGTGGAACATGTGTAGATAATGAATCCATTTTTAGTTTATGCAAATTTGCGAAAATTTAAGGAGTCAAATTAATATTCTTAATGAAAAATGCTTAAAATATCCATGCGATTATACCATGCTGTCTCTCTCTCTCTCTCTCTCGTTGCATCATAATGAATGATATCAAATAACAGAGTTGGCCCTTTGGAATTCTGACTAAATTCCAAATTGACTTGTCAAAACAAATGAATGACTTCAGTTTGATAGATCAATCAAGGCTTCTGTTAATGTTTAGGTCTGCAGTTTCTGCTAACTGAAATACCCTTTATAGCGTATCTCCGTCGTGGCGGCTACAACGTCATCATGATGGACTGGGGTGCGCTATGTCAGCCGCCCTGTTATGTGGCTGCAGTACATAACCTGCGGCCGGTGGCGAAATGTGCCGCTGAAGCGCTTGGCACGTTGAGGAGAGCAGGACTGCGCCCCGACCGCCTCACGTGTGTCGGGCACTCGCTGGGAGCTCACATGTGTGGTATCATGGCCAACTACCTCACATTCAGACTGAATAGAATCATAGGTAAAGAATATATTTATCTGTGATAAATATTTGAAATAATCAACTTGGAATTACGAGATACGCAACTGTTTCGGGTCTTATATAATATTTAGTGTTTTATTGTATTCAGAGCTAGATTTCTCCTAGTATACTTGTAGGTAAACTTCTTTTGTTCAGTGGTGGACTCGAATGTGGTCTCTAATTGGAAAAAAAATGTAGGTAGTTATTATTACCTCTCCTGTTTAGTTCTAATCATGATTATCGTAAATCGAATTGAAACATTTTCATTGTTATCATAATGTGGATATGTCTGGAATTCAGGTATTCATATTTATTTGAGTAGTTAAAAAAAAAAACACTTTCTTTTATTTTTTGGTAGTTAAACAATCTCTAACTCTCTCTACTAACTATGGTTTTGTTTTGAAACTTTTAGCGACGTTTAATATTCCAAACACTCGAGTCATATCCATACGTATTTACTTACACATTAAGAATCAATCATTAACCCGGAATAAGTACGCTTATAAATATTAATCGGCAGCTTATGTATCCAGGGCTAGATCCAGCGAGACCTCTGATCAGGTCAGCGCCCGCTCTCCGCCTGGACCCGGGTGATGCGCGTGCGGTGCACGTGTTGCACACCAACGCGGGGCGGTACGGTGAAGCGGCAAGACTTGGACACGCCGATTTCTGCCTCAACGGTGGACGTAGTCAACCTTACTGCGAGGATACACCGAGTAAGTGCTCTGTACCATACGGTGCGAATTAAATTCGTACTTATTACATTTATTTACGGCGGTATTTACAGTTTAATTATCTAAGTTATTGGATTTTGACATCTTAAATATATTTCTATCTTTGTCTCATTGATATTTTAAATGTTTATGTAAAAATCTTTTTCCATATATTATAAATAGATGTTGATTATAAATTTTGTTTTTCTTAAAATGTAAAATATTTTTTCTTCTTAACAGAGCAAGGTATAGTTTTGAAGAAGACAAAGGGATCTAGCCTCTTACAGCCAAAATGCTATCGAAAATCTATAACTTGTAACTGCAATATTTACATTTTAAAGCATTTTTCTTTAAAGATATCAATATAGCATTGTTGAGCAATATATATTAATACTAAAATTGGGTGCATTATCAATAATCGCAATTATTTCTGGTGGTAGATGAAGCGTTATGCAGCCACATCTGGTCGATCTGCTACCAGGCGGAGAGTTTGTTCCGTGAGCGGGCGGCGATCCCGTGCGGGCGGCGGTGCTCCGTGCGCGTGCCCCCCTCGCGCGCCTCCGCCCTGCCCGTGCCGCTGGGACAACCCGCCCCCATGACGTAACTATAACTCGCCTCATAATCTCACCCCGTCTGAGGGGCCTCCAAATGGCTGCAAAGTCCCTTGATCATATTATAAATTCGGGTTGGAGACCCCGTAGACAAATAAGTACAGCCTGTAGCGGGGGTTTATTGCCGTATTTACCATAAAAGCGAGTATAACTTACCCCTACGACGTTAACACTATGGATATTAAATGGAATAGTTCGCTGAAAAAAACTAAAAGAAACAAGCTTGTAAATCGAATCCATCTGTTTTCACACTTATTTATAAAACTGTCCATTTTTTAATAATGGTGTAATCCTAGACTGAGGAGTTGATAATTTGGTGGATTTACATGGATGTATCTTCAATAGCTCGGAGGTCATATTCCTTTTCTTTTTAATTTTACTAGCTCAATCATTCACACACATAAAACTATTTTTTAAATATTTAAGAACACCCTTGCCTGTTTGTTTTATTTTGAGTTGAATTTTGCGTAGATAATTATTAATGAGAGGAGCGTTTATGCTATAACATCAATAGCGATGACCGAGGGATCTTTTTTATTAGGCGGGTAGTATTACAAAAGAGGTTTTATCATCTACCGCTCGATTTTTATGTATAGTCTTTATTGATGAAAAAATGTGAGTAATGTAATATTAATACATATATATATAAATAAGGGCGCAGACAAATAATAAAAGTTTTGTTGTTATGAACAGGGCATCAGGCGCATACTGCGTGGAAGATTTCTCGACGCCGTTCTGTCCGTCGACGTCCGGTCTATCGGAAGGCGACTCTCGTTGTTGCCTGGACGCGCAGTACGCGGCCGCCGCCACCACCACCGCCCCGGCCCGCCCCCGCCCCCTCGTGCGCCTGCGCGCCACCAGGATTAAACCCGCGCCCACAAATCAGTCAGACCAGGCGATCTGACAGGAGAACGTCGGGCACGAGACGTATTGACATATATGGATCATTTACACGAAGCCAATAGCCGAGACGATCCACAGAAACTGACTTGAGAATTGTCTCAAGTCAATACTGACCGGCAGGTTAACTGACGACCTTAAATCGTAATCACAGAAAACATTGAGCAACTCCAATGTGTCAAAATAACTTATTTGTATTTTCTATTAATTTTTTGCAATTTTGAAATGTCACAGAGCTCTATGAACATTTTTTTTCGGTTGTCCTCAAAAATTGGCAGAGTTACAAAATAAAGAGGCTGACTTCCCAGACCGTTTCAGCTATTGGACTCGTGTTAAATGTTCTATTACAGCGCCGGATCAATGCAACGTGACGCCCTAAACAAAACATTGGAACGATGGCCATAAATAATCACAACAAAATAACTCTAATAGCACTGATTATAGTGTCATTTTGCCAATTACAGAAAAATTCTAAAAATGTTGTACTTTTGAATTAAGCCTTAAAGTTTTTTAAAGGCACTTCATTTTTAAGCTTATAATAAATTAGAGTAAACATAATCTGTTTGCCATGTCATACCACCCCCAAATACGAGCGTCCTAGGCAAGGGTTTGACGCATTTAGTGCATTTCGCAACTTGTGCAGTTCTCAAACTGGTTTACTTCTCATATGGTGCACTTATTTAAGATGAGTTGAGATTTGTAAAATTAACTAAAAATGAAACATATCTTTGGTTTTGCGCAGATAATTTTCTTTTAATCAACATACACTTTTCAGATACTTAATCAACAAATAAAGTAGGTAAGACACCCAACAAAACAATTAAACTTTACATAATTTCTTTAATTGGAGTCGGAATCTGACGGCAGAACACTTAAAAACTGAAAAGCATCATATTTCTCCAATTATTATTTACGTATGCGCGTATGCAAAAGCAAAACATTTGCGAAACTGCTGAAAGGGTTGTCACCTTTCGAGAAACAATTCGTGAAATTCGGATAGTTAGGTGGCAACCCTGAATGCGAAACATGTGCGTATGTAACGATTATTTTTGCAGTCGACCGCGTAACCGTACTGACAAGGACGCAGCTATTTCATAGAGCTAATAATAGAGCGAGACAAAGCACATGCGGAACATTCCCATACAACTGAAAAGATTTCGCAAATATTTCGTATTCGCATGCGATTGCGTCGGTGTACAAATGACGTAAACGAACCTCCGCACTGGCTCTACCGCGTAACAATAGCACGGATTGATCTGTCAAAATGACAGCTCAATTATCAACAGAGTAATCGGAATTTATATTGGATTGGACAGACCAATCGTGTCTAGTCTGCGGACTGTCGATCTGTCAGTCAGACATATTATTCAGGATTTTATATTAGACAGGCGATTTCGAACCTTAGTTACGCAGGGAAAAATTCGTTTCATGCGCCTCGCTCAGCTTGAGTTGATCGAAACTCGACGGTGATAAGACTTTAGAGCGATTTTCCAAATTACTATAAAATTCACGATGAATAATTAATAAAAAAAAACACTCTTCTTAAAGAAAAAAGACATTTACGATAAGGAAATTACATGATTTACCGGAAAGTTTTGTCATAATTTAAATCGACCATAAACGCTACAAATGATATTAAAAATTAGACTTTAATTAGAATAGTTTTAGAAATAAGTGAAAGTGTAATTTAGTAATCATATTAAGAAATTGGATGATGTTGATAGCCAAAGAATTCATTGTACCAATAAAATAGTAAACTATATGTTTGTTTTTATTTATTTCTTCTCATTATCCATTACATCAACGCTGGCCTGCTACTTCTATTCTGTTTTAGCTCTGTGATTATATCATAGACATTCGAAATACTATTTAAATATAAGTGTTTATAAAATCAGGAATAAATACTATGGTAACTCGGTGACGTCATAAAGTCATTACAATAAATCTATAGTAAAACGAAGACCATAAGTCACATTACAGTTACTAGGTGGCGCTAAAGTAAATTGTATGAAACTTAAATCGCGTTTACGAATTTTTTCATGTGAAAAATCTGTGTAAAATATAAGCTTTTTTGTAGCTTAACCCAAATCGGGCAACACTAAAAAAATAAAAGACATAAGTACCTATTCAAATACATTATAATGTTAATAATTATTCTAAATACATTTAATTCTATCAGCTTTTATTATTAGACATCAATAGAGAGAGTAGGGCTGCTTTCTCTTTCTCCTTCTTCCTTACAACATCTAAAGCTCGATTTTTCCACGTGCTTTTACGTAGTTTGATAGGACGACTTCCAACGTAGCGACCTGAAATAGTAAAACAAAAAAATCTAAGTGCAAACTACCCGAAGTTGAAACAAATGCAGTTTTCTACATTCATGTTATATACATTCAGAATTAAAGTAATAAATGTAATTGTTTAATGTTCATATTACATTAATATTTCTGCTTTCTTCGAAAGCACAATCAAGTGCTAACTCACTCAGACACAACTGTTTCTAAGCACAAAATCAATAAAATATTGCATTACGCGGTAGATTGAAAATTTATGACATAAATACTCGATATTTTAAGTTAATTTTTGTTAATGAAATGTATGACATAAATACTCGATATTTTAAATTAATTTTTGTTAAAGAAATGTCTTTTTTATAATTTATAAATACATATATGACAAAAATACATAACTAGACATTTTTAAATCAAAATCAAACTTTAATCCGTCTGAAATAAAGACCAGAATCGATTACTAAAATTCAATATTTAGTGGTACATAATTACTTTGTTTATAATAATATTTGCTGATGTTAATTTTATTAAACGTTAATTGTCTTACCGTCCATTTCTTTCATTGCTTTGATGAAATCACCGGGGTCCTTGAAGCTAACGAAGCCGAACCCTTTGCTCTTGTTAGTCCGTTTGTCCCTTATCACTTTGGCCCTTTGGAAGGATGTGTATTTGCTGAATGTCCGCGTCTGAGACGAAATAAAGTTTATTGGGTCATATTTTCGTACTTTAAGAAAGAAAACATGGTCTATTAACAACAAAAGAATCCCACAATTGCTTGCAAAGGCATTTTTTCTTCCGGTAACCAAAGGAACTATTATAATTTTTTTTTTTTATAAAAAAGAAGTACGTTTTTGAAAAATCATCAACGCTAGGCCATATCAATAAAACTCCTATCAGTTTGTCTGTATCACGAATAATTTTGTTAAATATTAATCAAAATGTAGCTACGATAAAGGCAAGTGCTTACTGACGTAAGATACGTAGCGTCTTATTAGCAGCGGAACATGAAAACCGACAAATATATGATAAGCCATTCAACCTTGCATATTATAAGTGGTTGTAACAAAACGGCGTGATATAATGGCCAAGACTCACGAGCAGTTCATCGGTGACGTCGTTGCCGAGGTCTCCGCAGAACATACGAAAGTCGTCGTCGGGCCAGTCCAGTAACGTCACGTCCTCCCACACCTGCCCGCCCGCTGTGCGGACCACCTATCATAACAATATCATTCTTAAAGAAATAGTAGTTTTCAATGCAGTTGCTCATAAAGCTCTATTTTTTTAATCCATTGTAAACACCGAAAGTGAGTCTCTCAACACGTGTTAAACAAAAATGTACTGAAATCTTTTACTGCACACGTGCTTAAAAGTATTTTTTTTTAATTTTTTTTTGGCCGAGCACCAAAGAAATTAAAAAAAAATGATGAAAATATGTCAAACTTTAGAGGCTTTCAAGGAGTCTAGAACGAATATTTTGAAATAAAAATGTATGACACGAAAACATGTTCAAATATCACGTTTAATTTTAACAAATATTTTTTACCTTTAATACATACTTAGTTTTATTAACCTATATATTTGTTTTATTTCCTCGCAAAAAGAATTGAAAAATATTGTAAGAAACTTGAGCGTAAAAGGTTTTTCGAGTTTTTATTATTAAGGCCCGAAAACCTTACTTTCCGCACTCGTATCTTAAATAACTATTATGGATGTCAGTTCATAAAAAAATTCTTCTGTTGTGAATATGTAAATCGTAGAAGTTAAAAAAAAATGCATCTAAAATAAAAATTATAAATAGAATATATAAAATTATATTCTGTAATAGCGTCCAAGTTTTTTTTGAGAAACCCAAAAAGGGGTATGTGTTTGTTTTATTTAGCAATTTTATATTAAGGTAAACATATGAACTGTTTTTATATTCATTTTTTGGTTGTTAGTTTCTTTTCTTTACCCATTATTACCATAAAATAAATAAATTCACAAGCTACTCAGCCTTTCATTAATTGGCCCAAACACCGAACCCCTCACACTAGTAACGAAAAAAGTAACAAGTGCGTGAAAAATTCATCAGTCCTGTTAAGTCCTGGGTAACTCAATGGTTAGAGTGGTCGCCTGGATTGCGAAAGGTCGTTGGTTTGAATCTCGTCTCAAGAGTACCTGGGGCTGATGAATTTTTTAAGCATTTTTCATTCAGCGCGTGACGTCACATTTCAATAAACTAAACATCATCGTTTTACGCCGCTTCATTGCTTTACTTTTCTTATTTAACTTTTTTCTAAATTATATTTCGATTTCCTTATGAGTGCACCACTAAAGGAATATCTGGTGTACTTTCGGGGGTCTGCTGTTCTGCGTCGCCGCCGTGGACGCTACGAACTATGAAGGAGGTTGTATTACGTACGCAACCTCACCGCTGGCCGCATAGACGCCACGACGGCATAAAAAGAAGAAAACTTCTTCTGTCATTCGCCTTTTGTCTTTTCACAACAACGCTTAAATAATATCTACCAGCCGCATAAATAATATAAATATTTCATCATAATAAGTATACCCAGACTGAACACCAGAAGGATTGTGGACGGAGCGGTATTGGAGTTCGTGTCCAAGTGGCGTACATCAGTTCAGTAAGTACTCTCGATTTTATATCAGGGTTCCATCGGGTGCGCTCTAAGGATAATCTCTTTCTTTATTTCTTTTCTTTCGCTTTTTTTTCTCTGTAACAATTATTTACCGCATACGATTAAGATCCCGCGTGAGGTCTCGGCTATTTACACGCCGCCTCACCATTATTTATTGGTCCTTCTTCGTTCGGATATTGTATCAGCGTTTTTATACTTATTTGGAAGTTCATAGATCATTGCGTAATTCATTGGCAATATATCTCGACTTTCATAAAACAGCATATCTTATTATTATATCTATATAACATATAATTACTTTATTTCATTCCTATCATACTTATTTCATTTAATTACACAATGTCGGAAAATAAACAAAATAAATTATCTATACTTCATTGTAAAAAGGAGTCTTTATTTGCACGTTTTAATCGTTTATATAAGTTGTCACAAAATATTTCTACTTTTGATTCAAGATCAAACGATGATTTCGTTACTGAGACGGAAACATTAGACAGTTTATTCTCAAAATATGAGAGCATTATAGATGATATTAATGAGCTTACTTTATCTATAAATGCTGATGCGAAGCCGGATTATTCGGCGCTTGATTCGTGTCAGGATTTATACATACGTATTAAAAGTGCTCGTAACAAAATATGTTCTGAGTCTTTATCTTTGCGATCTGATTGTGTAAAATATAATAAAACTTCAATTAAATTACCTCCGATAGAGTTGCCTAGCTTTGACGGAAAAATTGAAAATTGGTCGATATTCTATGAGACTTTTAAGTCGAATGTTCATAATAACGAACAACTTACCGATTCACAACGTGTACAGTATTTAGTTGGTAAACTTACGCATTCCGCTCTTAAGCTCACTGCGGGTATTGTACCTACAGGGGAGACGTATAGTATTATTTGGGATAGTTTGGTGAAAAAGTACCAAGATACGCGTACTTTAGGAACTCATTATCTTAACAACATATTTGAATTAAAAAAATGCTCTAATTCAGAACTTAGCTTAAATTCTTTCATAGAAACTTATTCTGCTTCTATTTGCGCTTTAAAACAATTAAATATTCCGGATATTACAGATTTTATATTACTACACGGTGCCTTAAGAAAAATGGACAATCAGATTTTACAAACTTTTGAGTTTTCAGTTCGTCATAAAGAAATTCCATCATATAAAGATTTAATCTCTTTTATACAAGATCAAGTAAAAGTTTTAGAGCGATCTAATAATAATAATAATAAGACTTTTCAATTTGGTGCTCGCTCTGTAAGTGTAAAGAATAATTATTCAGCGTCATCTTTGCCACGAAATACAAAATCATTTGTTTCTCGTAACGAAGCATCGGCGCCTGGAATAAAATGTAATTTATGTGATAGTTTGGACCACACACAATTTTATTACTGTCCGAAATTTAAGAATACTCTCTCTACTAAAGAACGATTTGAAATTATCAAATCTAAGCACGGTTGTGTAAATTGCTTGAGCCTGTCACATACATTGTCTAATTGTAGATCTAATTCTTGTTGTAAAATATGTAACAAACGACATCATACTTTATTGCACTTTGACAATAAGTTACCAAATATCACTAATACGCATATAGAGATTGGAAGCTCAACGTTACTAGAGAACAATCTTCTTTCTTCAAATACCTCATCACATCTGCCTACTAAGAAGGTTACAGAGAAACTGCCTGCTGTATCATCTTCAAACTCAAAGTCTTCATATAATAATGAACATGATTCTAATATAGCACTGCCTAACATGAATTCATCGCTTTCTTTTAGTGTTCAAAATCATTCTACAGTTCTTTTGTCCACCGCTCAGGTTTTCGCTAAATCTTATGATAGTAGCAATAAAAAGTTAATTCGTTGTTTAATTGATAGCGGCTCGCAGAATAACTTAATTACAATTGATTGTTGTAAATTACTCAATTTATGTATAAATCCACTAAAAAATTCATATGTAAAAGGTATAGGTTCGGGTTCGCAACCTTTACATGGTTTTGTGAAATTTGAAATCGAGTCTCGTTTTGATGCAAATAAAAAATATGATATTTACGCTCTTGTAGTGGATTGCATCACTGAACAGTTGCCATCTCATTATATTGATAGGCAGGATTTACATTTTTTGAACGGATTGCCACTTGCGGACCTTACTTGGAATATACCCGGTGAGATAAATTTAATTCTAGGTGCACAACTTTTCCCGTATATTTATTTAGGTAATCGATTAAATTCAGATTCTAGTGCTCCTTCCGCGATTTTGACTTCATTTGGCTATGTATTGATAGGCGACTGTCAAAATAACATTTCTAATAATTTACCAAAGTCACATATTACGTTCACCGGTTTATCTTATAATGAATTGGAGTTAAATATGCAACAATTTTGGGATTTGGAGGAGTTACCTCGTAAGCAGTTTTTGAGCCTTCAAGACACTAAATGTGAAAATTTATTAACCAGTTCAGTAATGCGTGATGATAGTGGACGCTATTCCGTTTCGTTACCATTTTGTGACGACCCAGTGCAATTAGGGAATTCTCGTACTACCGCTTTACGTCGCTTATATGCTTTAGAACGTCGTTTTAAACAACAACCTATACTCAAAGACAATTATAATACAGTAATTTCTGATTACATAGAAGAAAATGGTTACTTGATAGAAGTCTCTGATAATGATGATAATGACAGGGGTTATTACATTCCTCATCATGTAGTTGTACGTTCGGATAAACTTATGCCTAAAATTATATTAGATGCTTATTCTAAAACTCATACAGTATTATCTTTGAATGACGTGCTACATACGGGACCTTCATGGTTGCACAATCCAGTCTCGAAATGGCCTGTAAGACCGTTCTCTCCCATCGATAATAGAGAGTTACCAGAATTCCGTACAAAAACACTAGTTACTACCGCTGAGTGTAATCAACCTGTTCTCTATGAACTTGCTTTACGTTTATCCTCTTGGGATAAACTGTTACGAATTGTAATATATATTCTTAGATTTATAAGAAAACATGATTCTGTTAATACTGTGAATAATTTATTTATTGCAGAACGAATGGTAATTCTTTCAGTACAACAAGTACATTTTACTAATGAGATTGATTTAATAAAAAAAGGAAAATTAACTTCTAAAAAATTAAGAAATTTAAACCCCTTTCTCGATAAAGAAGGAATCCTCCGCGTAGGTGGTCGGCTGACACATTCTGATTTACCGTATGATGCTAAGCACCCTGCTATTCTACCGAAACACGATCATATGGTTAATCTTATTATTCAGCATTTTCATGTAATAAATTGTCACACAGGAGCCGGTCTACTTATATCAATTTTACGACAGCGATATTGGATTTTAGATGCCCGATCTGTAACTAGAAAGGTTGTGAGGAAATGTAATTCCTGTTTCCGAACAAATCCTAGACATCCTTCTCTAATGATGGCTGATCTACCTTCCTGTCGTGTAACTGAAACTAAGGCTTTTGTTCATACTGGCGTTGATTACGCAGGTCCTATACGCATTACTCTAGCCCGCAGAAGGGGACAACAGTCTCAAAAGGCATACATATGTCTTTTTGTATGCTTGTCAACTAAAGCCGTTCATATTGAATTGGTTTCCGATTTGACTTCTAACACATTTTTATCCGCCTTTAAAAGATTTATATCCCGACGAGGTCCAGTTTCATGTCTTTATTCCGATAACGGAACGAATTTCGTTGGTGCAAAAGCTAAACTTGATGAATTATATCAGTTTTTACTCAATTCTGATTTTAATGCAACTTTAAAAACTGAACTCGATAGTCATCGAATTGAATGGAAGATGATTCCACCCAGAGCACCGCATTTTGGTAGTTTATGGGAATCTAACATTAAAAGTTTAAAGACACATTTGTATAGAGTAATTGGAAATCAACTGCTAACATTCGAAGAATTACAAACTGTACTTGTACAGATTGAATGTATAATGAATTCTCGCCCTTTAACTTATATTTCTTCAGAACACTTTCCTGAAATTATAACGCCAGCTCATTTCTTAATGTCAACTCCTTTAAAATATTTACCCGCGACTGATTTAACTAATGAGAACGGTAGACTTAGCAATCGTAAACTACTATTAGATAATATGGTCAATTCATACTGGAAGAAATGGCATAAAGAGTATTTACACACGTTGCAAATTAGGCAGAAATGGATAACTACAGATCGCAATGTTCAAATTGGAACAGTAGTATTGGTGGGTGAGGAAAATAGTCCTCCCTTAACGTGGCCTTTAGGTATAATCACGGATGTCTTTCCAGGACATGATGGTATAATACGAGTCGCTATGGTTAAGACTCAGAACGGTAGTTTCAAACGTCCTATTGTGAAATTATATCCTTTACCGAATCAATAACTATAACTCATTATATCTTATTAATTTAGATCATTCACATTTTTACTTTATTATATTATGTATTTTAAGAATTCACTATCACGCTTTGAAAGTTCCATGAACTTCCAAGGGGGGGAGAATGTTGACGCCGCTTCATTGCTTTACTTTTCTTATTTAACTTTTTTCTAAATTATATTTCGATTTCCTTATGAGTGCACCACTTAAGGAATATCTGGTGTACTTTCGGGGGTCTGCTGTTCTGCGTCGCCGCCGTGAACGCTACGAACTATGAAGGAGGTTGTATTACGTACGCAACCTCACCGCTGGCCGCATAGACGCCACGACGGCATAAAAAGAAGAAAACTTCTTCTGTCATTCGCCTTTTGTCTTTTCACAACAACGCTTAAATAATATCTACCAGCCGCATAAATAATATAAATATTTCATCATAATAAGTATACCCAGACTGAACACCAGAAGGATTGTGGACGGAGCGGTATTGGAGTTCGTGTCCAAGTGGCGTACATCAGTTCAGTAAGTACTCTCGATTTTATATCAGGGTTCCATCGGGTGCGCTCTAAGGATAATCTCTTTCTATATTTCTTTTCTTTCGCTTTTTTTTCTCTGTAACAATTATTTACCGCATACGATTAAGATCCCGCGTGAGGTCTCGGCAGTAGCGAGTACTTATGTTTACTGAAATGTGATGTCACTGCTCGAAATGTCACTGACTAGTGGATTCGCGGGACAATTTAAATTATTGAATAAGAATGTTTTTCCTTTATTTTTTAAACACTTTTTTGAGAAAAATAGTTCGTGTACATACGTGTGCCTGAGTATCAGGTATATGATTATAAAGAATTAAATATTATTTAATGTCGTATCTTATTTAACAATCTATGCTAATTTCTAGATATTTCCACATCTTACGAAATCAAAATTTCTAACGGCGCAGGATCTAGATTACATATAGTTAGATTTATTTTAGTATAACTAACATGCCAAGTATGATTCAAATAAATAAAAATGGAGAGTCTGTAACATTAAATTAACAGCTTTTTACTAAATACATTTTTGACATTTTTTGTTTCTTTGTTGCGGCTTAACTCAGAAACGGCTGGACCTATTTTGACAGGACTTTCATTGGCAGATAGCTTATGTTACATTTAATAATTTACGCTACATTCCACGCGTACGAACTCGCAGGCACAGCTAGTAAAATAAAAGTCTGTAAGACCGGAACATACCTTTCTGTTTTTCTTCTCCTTCTTGGGTTTGGCGGCGGGCGGTTCTGGCGTGATGATGGGCGGGGGCGGGGGCGCCGGCATCGGCGCGGGCTCCGGCTGCGGCTCCACGCGCGCCGCCGCCGCGGGTGGGGAACGTTTCTATGTACAGTCAACAGCACATCAGCTTATACATTTCACTACATAAGAATCTGATTGCATTTCGGAAAATTTTAACAGAAGGCAACATGGGAAAAATGTATAAAGACGTCTTGTTGTTATACTTTAATATAATAAACACTTTTCACTAACTGCCTCATAGCATTGAAGATACTCTTCACCATATTCCTATATGGGCAAATTTTGACATAGATTAGCCATCTGTGTGGGACATAATATAGTGCACAAACATGTACCTGTACACTCTACATTACTAACATTTAATATTTTGAAGGAACAGTAACCAACCCGGTAAAAAAGCCCAATAATTTTTTTACTCAGAATGTAACACAAATAAATAAAAGACGCTTTACTTTATTTATTTCTTAATTACTAATCTCTATTAATATCACAACTGCTGTTACGCTTACTCATGTAAATCAAATCTGCTTTAGTTTATTTTTTTCTAGTCACAGTTCCTATTTTTACCCGGCGTAGGGAAATGTTTTCATAAATTATCCTTCGCTAGTAGTATGATTACTACACAGGCCAATTAATTCTTTAAAAAGAATAAGCGCCAAGACGTCATATCTAGTTTACAGGTATTTATTCAATATACCGGTCAATTCATAAACATACTTTAAAATAAATAAAAAAATGGAATTTGTAGATCCGCTTTCCGAAAAAAAAGATTCACTGTACATATTCATTGGAAATTACTATACAAACACTTACCCGTTTCCTACTTTCATGTTTTTCTTTTTTGTCCTCATCTTCCTTAGGCTGTTTGTATAATTTGGGTGCAGCAGACAAGACTACAGGCTGCGGTTTGGGAGGGGGTGGCGGTATCAACTGTGGTCCCGGCAGTCCCGGCCTAAGAAACGGCATTGGACCCGGAAAACATTCGGGCATACCAGGAGGGCGAAGTCTTTGAACCTGAAGCATATAATATTGATTTAACTTTAGCATTGAGAAATAATTTTATAAGAATGGAGACTCAATAACTACTTCACTACAATAAAAACTACAGATTTTCGTGTACATGGTCACAAAAGTAACCAAAATGTATTTGTCGATTTACGTCTTGGTTACTAAAGGGACCTCCGGTGACAGTGTGGGAAAAACGTTATTTGTTTTTGTTGGCAACATCAATGATTGTGTACGTTATATGTGGTATTTAGTACTTAGTACGAAATATAGATGACGGTCTATTTAAAAAATAGTACAATAATGTATTCTAATATGTCTGAAATCAAATCATCATAATAAAACAAATATTTCCGTGAAATAAATCAAAAATATTTTTTTATACCCGCGAAAACGTTGCCGCCATATTCATGACGTCATTGTGATATATGCACAAAATCTTAACTCTATGCACAAAGCAGATGCATATAGTAGAAGATCAAAGTTGTCAATGAAACAAGATCCATGCAATAAATTGCATGGTTCATGCATGATCGATTTCTAAATAAATAGATATAAATAAGCTAAGAACAGCGCCATCTAGGAATTCGATTTATAATTAATAGGCCTATCTTCATGACTTATCTGACAGCTGTCGCAGTGGCGTCACACAATGGCGGGTCGTGTTTCAAGCCACGTGGCACACAGACAAAAAATCTCGACTTTCAATTTCAAGATAATTTTGCGATTTTAAGACTGAAAATCAGAATCTCTATATTTATTACGACGTAAATTTTAGTTTTTATGCAATTTCGTGAATTTGTCACTACCGAAACTACCCTATTGAATAGTCTATAACTTATATATCGCTCGATAAGTTTGTGTGATATCTGCGAGCGTGTACTTAGAAACATCATACGTTTCTAAGGGATGACTGATCGCGATTTGAACGTTAAGTGATTAATAATCTAATATTTTAATACATCTCAAGATCTTCACATTTTTCAGCAATAATAAAAATTTACTTATTTATTAAAATGACAGTTACATATTACCTTGCTGAACTATGTTTGCTACAAAATCGATGTCGCTCATATAAATTAGGGAATAAATACTGTTTCTGGTTATTCAGAGTTATTATAGGTGATTATACTGATAAGGTGTGAAACTGCTTATCCTTATTTCGTAAGTAATAGTTTCAGGTGTTGTAGTGTTGTGGTACCTCCGCTGTCTCAGATATTCCATAATACAGGGGCTTTAGCTACTCTAATGTACAAGATATTGTCTAGTATTCAATTATGTATTATTATATGCAAATATAGTAAGTGGAACTGATATCTTTATTTTATCGCCGCCATTATTAATTAGATCATTAATTAGACATTAATCAATGCAATATTAATGTCTTGACTAGAAATAATATATCGGAAGAGTTATTTGGCTTATTATCTAAATACAACTTGACCAACCATATCCTAAAACCAACTAGGTGAAGCTTGTTTAGACTTTATTTGCTCAAACATAAAGGATGTTAAAGCTCATTTTCAATTTGTGGCTCTATCTGATCAGATCCGAAGAAACCGGTCAGATTATTTCCTTACCATCTCTTAGATAAAACAAGGTTAAAGTATGGAGCCCAATTTTTGTTTCGTATACATAAGCGATGAAAATATAAAAAAGTTGAAGGACTGCCTTTCATCACTTTCATATAACGAAATTCTTAAAGAAACTAACACCCTAAAAAGTATTCAACTTGCTTCATGATGGTTCTTTAATACTTATGTTAAAGTAAAAAATAAGAAAATAAAAAATAAATGGCGTACAAAAGGGGTAAAAAGTGTTGTATACGTAAACGACAACTATACGTAAATTATTTACTTAATTCTAAAAACAAGTCTTCACAAAAATATATAGAAAGTATTCGGGTGTACTTCGAAAATGTAAAATTATTAATAACCATTTAATAGAAAAAAACAACAGATACTGCATGTTGCTGTTTATGGAGCATGATCAATAGATACTTCAAGATCATCATCATCATCAGCCGTAAAACGCCCACAGCTGAGCATAGGGCTCCCCCATAGATTTCCACGACGATCGGTCCTACGCAGCCCGCATCCAACAACTTCCCGCAACCTTTATAAGATTGTCGGTCCACCTGGTGGGAGGCCTACCCACTGAACGTCGTCCGGTATGTAGTCACTATTCGAGAACTCTTCCGTCTTAACGGCCATCAGTTCTTCTAGCTGTGTCCCGCCCACTGCCACTTTAGCTGAGCTATTCTTTGAGCAATGTCAGTAACGTTAGTTCTCCTACAGATTTCCTGATTCCTAATTTGATCACGTAGAGAGATACCAAGCATTGCTCTCTCCATTGCCCACTGGGTGACCTTGAGCCTTCTTATTAAACCCATAGTGAACGACCACGTTTCGCTTCCGTAAGTCATCACTGGCAACCTGTAGTCCACTTGGCACTTGGCACCTTTGGAGAGACTGCATCACCGCTCATGTCTCGATCGAATCAAAGGTTTTCTCGTAGTCGTGGCCGGTTATACTCTTTGGACTTCTGTATAACTTGCCGCAGCGTATGAATATGGTACACGGTACTATAGCCTTTTCGGAATCCAGCTTGTTCGGAAGGTTGGAAGTCGTCGAGCCTGCGAGTGAGACGATTCGTAATGACCTTCGAGAAGAACTTATAAACGTGGCTCAAAAGCAAGATCGGCCTATAGTTTTTCAAGAGTGCTTTATCACCCTTTTTTAAAAACAGGACGACCTCATTCCCACTCCATGCTTTCGGCATTTTACCTTCGAGAATAACGGAATTGAAAAACCTCTGGAGGATTTTGAGTATCGACTTACAGCCCGCTCTCAGAAGCTCTGAGGCGATTCCGTCGTCACCTGTTGCCTTGTTGTTTTTCAGTTGTTTAAGAGCCGTATTAATCTCATACAGACTAACGTCCGGATTTCTTCGGTTAAATGTCGGGTAAGTTTGACTCTAGATCTCTTGCCTTGCTTTCGGCAGGTATTTGCGTGAAGTAAATCTGTCCATAGAAACTCTCGATCTCCTTTAAGATTTCCGCTTTTGACGAGATGATGCTGCCGTCGTCAGATTTCAGCCTCGACAATTGGCTTTGCCCAATACAGATCTTTCGCGAATACTATGGTGCCTTTGTTCCGCTCAATTGCCTTTAATACGTTCCGTATTAATTCGGCGAAGATAGCTTCAAGGTCTCTGATATCTGCCTATTTAGTAGTCGATAACGATTTGCATCCATTGAGTTTTGTGCCTCATTTCGTGTCTCATTTGCATGAGTTGGAGTGTGTTATCAAAATGTTTCTTTGTTCTGGGACGGCGGGTTTTGAAGAACTTGGCCCCTACCATACGGACAGTATCCACCACCATGCTGTTTAGATCGTCTACATCCAAATCGTTGTCAAGGACGCTAAAGCGGTTCTGAAGCTCGAGTTGAAAACTTTCGGAGTTTTGGATCTGTGCAGGTATTAAAGTCCCCCATCACAACCGTGTAGTGGGTATTGTAACTATGCATGGCTTTTGAGATCTCCTCATTCATAGCCTCCACTTCATCATGTGCGTCGATGTCGGAGCATAAACCTGTATTAAATTCAACGAATATCGATTTGATATTCTGAGTATCAGGTATGCTACCCTGGTCGACACACTTCCAATGGTAATCACGTTGTTTACAAGGGACTTGTGGACACTGAACCCAATACCAATACTAGGGACTGTTGATCACCCTCCCGATAGTATAGCAAATAATCAGAATCAAGGATTATCGAGTCCTCCCCCTCTCTTCGGACTTCAAATAACCCGACAATGTCCCAGCGTAACTTACTGATACATTCTTCCAACTCCGTCTGCCCTCAATGATCGCGATCGTCGTAGATGGTAGCCGAATCTTACCCGGGGATTCTTCGCACCCTTTGCCTTACTGTTACCGTAATCGCTAGCGTAACTAGGGATAGTAGGGCTGCCGGGGACTAGAGGCCGATTTATTTTTAGGTTATCTATAAGGTGGGGGAAATAGATACTCGATACTTGCAAACCTTTATTAAAAAGTAAAAACATATTATACTTATATGTGTTTGAAATATTGAAACAGTCAAAGACTATAATGTGCCTTTACAAAAACTAAAAATACACAGCAGTAATTCTTTTTGCAGATGGACCGCATATTCAACAAACTAAAAAGAGTCCTTTTGGCCTGTGTTCACCCGTCATGGACCACAGTAGCCAATGTTATATTGACAGCCGCAGCAAAACTTATTGACTAACCATTCAAATAAAATATTGTTGATAGTTTAATAAGGCTTCCATAATTCAATGCTGACAAAATGTTGTTTATTTGTTATTATTCATATGTCTATAAACTTCGAAAAACAAAAAGTTTTTCTTTTTTAATATCTTATGCATATATGATTTTTCCTAAGGTTGCAATAATGATAACATACCGATGCTGGTACCATCATAGAAGGTGGTGGTGGTGGCGGTGGCACCGTTGGGAACATCATGCGTGCGGCCATCGCCGCTGGCTCGAAGGGCGGCATTATCGGCACTGCCCGTTCCAGCTGTTGCTGTACAGTACCAAATGTAGCTGCACCGATCACCGGCCGAACACCCATCTCCACCCCAGATATCTCGGCTTCGAATCTGAATGATAACCATTAAGCTGCTATTGAACTCTCTTTAAGTAGTGATTTGATATAAGAGAATGCCCAAACTCCCTTTTAATTATAAATGTGCTTTAATTGCTTAAAGCATATTATTAATGATTTCTTTTCATTTTCTACATCCTGCTATGTTATTTTATGTGCAGGATGAAAGGTAGTTCTACATATGATAGAGTTTCCTATAGGTGAATTCATTATTTAAATTCGATTCACTTTGTGTTCAATGTGATTTTGTTTTACAAAATGATCAGTAACTAAGGATAATTATTATGATGATTATCCAAAAAATATTATCTTTATAATTACGAATGCTGGACTATGATAACTATACACATCAAAAATAATATAACAACATGTCCTGACAAAAAAAGGAATAGTTCGTAACACAACCCTACTACATGCACAATAATACAAATTGTGAGATAAATGTGAGATGGGTTTCTGTGGTTACAGTTTAAAGAAAAGAACAAGAAAATTAAATTAAAAATAAAAGTATGATTATGCTATAGTTATAACATGATTACATTAAAACAACTAATATGAGTTATCAATGTATTATAGTTATAAGGACAAAATGGATTAAAATTTATAATTAAATAATTTATGTTAAATAGTGTTGGGAATTGGTAGGTCTACTCTGCACAAACGAAGTTTAACAATATCCTATTTTTTTTTTCAGTACACCATACAATCATTTTAAATATAATATAGTTTATGCTATGGATACATATTGTACTCTAGTGCAAAGTAAAAAAGATAACAATAAAGATATCTACTGCAAATATTGTATTACGACAATTGCATATATAATTTATGTAGATTTTTACCAAATACCCAAAGACTCCATTTCGTGTAAAAATTGTGCACCATCACACAAATCTCAAAAATGCCATTAACTGTTTATTGTTCTATAACCATATGTACCTAGAATAATACTAACTGGACCTATTTACCTTGACATTTCATCTTGCATTTGCTGGTATTTACTGGAGTCCTCCATGGCGAAGTCTTGGAAATAACCTTAAAACAAGTCCAAAAAATTACGAGTAACGAGAAATTTATTAAACGTTTCTACTATAAAAAATTCTTGATACGTACAAGCATTTTAAAATACTAAAATATCTCGTTTTAGGTACTAAATTAATTAAAGACTTGGCTGGGCTTAGCTTTTTCTTCCACAACAAAAGTCAAATACAAAATAGGGATGTTCGATATTCATCGATGTTCATTAAACATCGATGTTCAGCTAGAAAATATTGATATTTTGTCATCGATGTTTTAAATTCGATAACATCGGCATTTTCTAGCCAAACATCGATGTTTCTGAATAAAATATCAATATATCCTAACGTGCTCTAGATATACTAGCTAGATGATCTCGTTCTCAAGTTCAATTATTTTCCAATAGATGTCACCGGTTGCACTCGTAACTGGAGTTACCAAACAAATAGTTTTTTCTTTGCTTACCTTTTCCAAGGAAGTTAAAAATAAATCTGTAATCTTCAGCGCTCTTTATTACCATATAATTAACCGAAAACGTACTTCAATGACCGTTACGATTTTATAGGTTATTTTGAGAACGTTGCCCGTAATTAAAAGTTGCCCGTGAGAAGATTACGATACTAACTGCTTGCGGATTTTGATTTGCATTGAAGGTATAAAAGTTCAAGAAGAATCTTTTTCTTCTCTCCCCTCCCTCTGTTTACAATGTTTTCGCTTTTATAACAAAGGAATAATAGTTATGCCATGGGACTTCTTTCGTGAAAGATATTCTAACTATACTTTTTATTGTTTCATATTTCAAAAAACATTGAAATTTGGATAATAAGAAAACCAAATTTTTGTTTAATACATACATATATTGAAATACATATTTTACATACATGTTTAGAAAAGTTGGCTCTACTTTTTATCAATAAAGAAATATATTAAAAGGTTATTCCTTATCAAAATTATTTTTTCTTCAATCAGTTGATATAAATATTGGAATATGTAATGATTTGTTCTGTTTCTTTATAAATTCTGAAAGATTCACTGTATTTTATTTAAAATCATTGATGTTTTCCAACATCGATGTTCAGTTTTCGATAAATATCGAAATCGATATTGAGCTTGCGATGATGACATCGATGTCAACATCCAAGTTTTTTTTTTAATATCGATCATCCCTAATAAAAAACTTATGTTATAGTGTAGTGACCAGTGATCAACACAAGCCCCTTTTTGCTCGAGTCTATAGATGACTGAGTCAGACTGACTAAAATAACTACCAGGTACTCAAGAACTCGAGTACCTCGAATATAAGTTCTAAGTACTAACGACATTCGAATCCTAAATATGGAAACACATTATCGGACGTGGCTGACGGACGCGGCTGACAGCCGCGACTTATAAGTTTGCACAGTCTTCAAGGATGTGGCTTGCGGACGCGTTTCGATGCCTATTCCACTAGGAACTGTTGACGAAGAAACATGTCGAGTAGTGAAAGTGAGGACGAATTTTTCGAATTAGCGGCAGCAGCTTTATGTTGTCCAGCCAGAAAGAAAATAAAAAGAAGCCTTTGGGTCCATGACATAAATAAATGGAAACAAATTATCGGTTGTTTCCAGCTTAAGTCGTGCACTTTAACAGCGACCTTATAGCTTCACGCATATAGTCGATTTGAATAGAATTGATTGCTTTTCATCCGAATGTCTACTTGTTGTAGCAGATTTGAACGTATTTCCTCTCCTACCCGGGGCTTCAAAGTGTCTAATTTTCAATCAATAGTAATCCCTGTCAATTTGACATTTGCAAAATATTTACGAACTTCACATTACAATTATTTAACATGTGATAGCTATTCCGATCGAGTCGTATTTTTTGAAAGATATTAAATGAACGATATTGTTAATTTAATATTAATTGGAATTATTTCAGGCCAGCGTTAGACGTAAATATTGCTTAAAGTTTAAGTTACTAAATTTTTAATTACAGGTCTTGAACACTTAAAATAAAATAGTTTGT